GTGAAACTGATTCATAATCTTCCACATGGAAAAGAAGCAATGGATACAGACCTGTTTGCCATACAAGGCCAGCAAGTTTCCTGGTAATGTCCTTTATCCAAGCACCAAGGAGAGAGCAGACTACTCTGAGAGTCTGCCTAGCATTATGGGAGTTGAGCTCCCAGGAGGGAGAAATCCCCTATATCTAACACCCCTCTCTTCTTGTATGTATCCACACTTTATGTATCCACATTAACACAATGTTTGTTCCACAAGAACTTAGCTACATACCCTGCCAAGGGCAGAGTTGCCAATCAGTTGGCCAGGGTCCACTCAACCTGATCTCTGTTTAAAGTTCAGCTGGGATGGAATTGTTTTCTTCAGTGTCTGGTGTGATGCTGTTTTGGTTCTAAGAGAAAAACAATATTGATAACATACAGATGTTTATAGTTATCGCTAAGCAGTGTTATGCAGAGCCAAGGCTGTTCCAGTTTCTCAGCTCATACTAACGAAGGACTGGGAGGGGACAGCATCAGGACAGCTGACTTAAACTGGCAAAAGGAGTATTCCATACCATTTGACATCATGCAGGGGAGTTAAGAAGGGGACAGGAGTTCATTTCTCTCACTTCTGCCACTTGGAGGGCTAGCTGGGCATCAGTCAGTGAGCAGTGAGCAATTCTTGTGCATCACTTGTTAGATACATTCATAACATACACAAATACATATATATAATCATAACTATTATCATTTTCCTTTCCTCCATCTTAGTAAACAGTTTTATTTCAATCCACGAGTTCTATTTTGTTGTTTGTTTTTATTCTCTCCCCCATACCACTGGGAATTGGGGAAGTGACCAAATAACTGTGTTGTGCTTAGCCACCTGCTGGGTTAAACCACAAAATGCCTCCTGAGATAGGGCATCCACAACTTTTCTAGGCAACCTGTTTCAGTGCTTCACCACTCTCTGAGTTAAAAATTTCCTCTGAATAGCCTAATTTTTCCCTTTTTAGTTTAAGTTCCTTCGCCCTTGTTCAATCTCTATCAGACCACACAAAAAGTTGATGAACTTCAGTTTCCCTCCAGAGAGAAAAGTCCCCCGCCCCAATGCAGTGAAAGAGAGAACCAACACTTAATGTACACATGTATTATTTTTTAGTTCTTGATCATAAAGCTATTGGAAACAAGAAAAGTCTTAAAGCCTGCAACACAACTGCTCAATGTTATTTTTTAAGAATGACAGAACTACTATACTACTGAAAGTGAAAAGCACACAGAGCAGATCCAAACACACAAGACAATGAACTTCACAAAATATAACAATTTGTTCACATAAAGCTTTGTTAAGGTATGGAATACCTTAGCACAGACCACTGCCAATGTTAAATATTTTCATAGATTCAATAACAGTCTGCATGTATTCATGGGAGTAATTAATTGCACAAGCATATGTGGGTGCAGAAAATCATTCAGCCACAATCAGCGTCGGCTTGAAGAATGTCCAGGAGGGAGTAACTACAGGTCTCAGTCTATACTTTTCCCAAATCTTTTTCCCAGAATTTGTTATTGATTAATGGCAGAGACAGGAGCCTGGACTAGGCAGACATCTGGTCTGAATTAGCTGTTGCCTTGTGGTAACAGAGAAAACAAGGGTAAGGAGTCCACATAAGGTTCCAAAGTCACAACTTTTAAATGTCAGTATGGGAACTGAACTGGGAGATTTAACTAGCAAATAGTTGTGGAAACATGCAGTGAGCATAAACCTCAACACTGTGGAAATTTCTAACGTTTGCTTTAGAACTTCATCCTAATCTTTCCTCAGTAGAGACACTTATGAGGATCCAGAGGAAATAGAAGGAAAAGCAGGATAAATACACTTGCAATTAATTTTCAGGGAGAATATCATCATCTGACCATGCTAGCGGGAATAAATAGTGTGCAAAGTAAAACAATCAAAATAGAGAAGGAAAAGTGGGAAAAAATGTAATGTCAAGGAAACAAGAAAAAAACAAAGTTACCAATTCTAATGTGTTTATAAACCATTTATACATCTTCTAGTGATGAAAAAAATTCTGTTACAAAGAAAGGGAACTCCTGAACACAAATTATCTAATTATGTTGTATCAATTTAATGCTTCTATTGTCATGCCCACCTTCAGTCTAAGAGCAATTTAAGAATTCCAAGCATTTCTCTATTTGCCTTTTCTTAACCTTCATTGTATTATGATGATATTATTCCTCCTAACTCCCTCTTTAATTTAGACTCTTGAAACTTCACAATTTTTTCAGTTGTTCTTTTGTGATTAAAGACCATGTTTTTAACAATAACTTTAAAAACAGAATCCTTACCTTTTTATTCTTTATGCATGCTACTTTCACATTCATGTGTCTAAAAATTAATATTGACAATAGCTGTAGTTTTTAACAACAACAAAAAAAAAGTCTATAATATCATCTTCATGCACAGTTTCTTTCAGGAGGCCAAAAAGAATGAAAAGTAGCAGACTGTCCCTGGCACTTAATTTCTCTCTGAATTCAGTGGACTGCTATTTGAGTTCCTCTGTTCCCTTTCACCATTACAAATACAACCTACAAGCAATCCCCTTCTCTCTCAAAGCGAGTTCATAGGAGAATGCATGAAGTTTGAAATAAATAATGATTTTTTGTTGAAAAATTCAGATGCAATTTATAGCCCAGCATCAGTGTTTAAAAGCTACACTAACCAATGTACAGTGTCCTACAGAAAATCACTTTGAAATTTCCAGGACAGTCCCACTGGTGTTCTTTGCAGAGATGTAAGAAATTAAGAGAACACAAAATGAGTAACTATCTTATTAAAAAATCGCAGTGTTTTTAGGAAAGGCAGAATTAGGGGAAAAGTTACCTTACTTGTTGTCTGCAAGTATTTTCCTTCAAACAATCTATGGATTCAGCTTTCACAGTGCAGAACACAAACATCTTTCCAAGTTCTTAAAAGCAGGGAAAAAAATGAAATAAAAATTGATTACAATATCATTCCATCACTACTCTGAATTCTGTAAGACATATATATTAATCTGTTTAAAGCTAAGACAGACTTAGATGAAACAGCAAATCACTACTGAATTTAAGTATAAGAAAGACTCCTTTTTTTTTTTTTTTTTTTTCCAAATCTAACTAACTAACTTTTATGAATATAGCAGGAAAAAATAAATAAATAAAATGCTATTTTAGAGATCCATTGATTATGATAAAGGATATGAAAAAAAAAAAAAATCCATAAAACTTCCTGGAAATACATTAAGAACCAGCTTTTCAACGTCAGAGGTTATACGGAAAGAAATGCTGAACTTAAAAGAAGTGACTATTTGCAGCAAACATTTAACTATATTTAAAATATATACATTGATTCCTGGAGGTGAGGAAAGAATTCCACGATCAAGCTAAACCAGATTTATTCTTTGTTCTCTGACATACCAGAAACATACTCACATGGCAGATACTCAAAACTGCAAGCATGGTTAAAAAAAAAAAAAAAAGGAAAGAAAGAAAAAAGAAAAAAAGAGGTTTCTATTTCTCTTAAAGTGTAGGTATTTTTTAATTTAGCATAATTTAGCATTGTGCATATACAAAACTTTGTATCTTCAAAAGGATATTCACTTCAAAAGAACCTCGCTCTCTTGAAGTTTCTGTTACTCGATTCATTCACCTGTGGCTAATTTCACCGTGACCTTTTCAAGACATAAAAAACTGCCCAGTTACACATTTACTTTGAGACAACTCAATAACTCGCTGTGATTCAAAACACACCCTCCATAAAAAGCATGGAGATTTGCTCAGATGACTTCTGGATGTACAAAATCCACGATATTCTGACTTACGTCAGCTGTTAATCAATGTCACAATGTCTGAAAATGTTTTGTTTAGATCCCCTTCTTCCTGCTTTTTCTAGATTAAACAACCCTTTAGGATTCTGTGTTGTGCTGAAAGGCAACTGGAAACTCCAACACACCAACTTCAGATCTTTTGCAGAAAAACAGAATTTAAAACTTCTATGGGGAACGAGGTAGACCTCCAGATCCGTAGATCTTCACATTTTTAACATGCTTTTCAAACCTGGGGCACCAAAGCCATGCGAAGTAATACAGTGTGACACTAAAAGCGAGGCAGCGCAAAAGCCGTGCGCATGAAGCTCACTGCAAAGCAAGCCCAAATCCTCCAGCGGGCCCCGCTCACAGCAGACGTGCAGCTGTGTTGGCACACGAATGCCTCGGACGCCTTACACAAGAACTGCTGCAGAACAGCCCGATCAATGCGCAGCCCTCGCTCGCACTGGCAGAGCTTTTTTCAGCATTTTCAGGGTTTGCATTCCCTCCCCTCCCCTCCCATTGTGCTTTCGCAGTACTTTGTTCGCCGTTGTGCGATCTGATGTGTGAAAATGATTCCAGATTAATTTCTTTCCCCTAGCAGAACGGTTTTTCAGCCTAAGAGTCCACTGCTCTGAAACCTACAAGTCGGCACAATAGGAACTGAGCCACGAGAGGCAGACGGCTGTGTGGAACGGGGAAGTGGTTCCCACGACACCTATTAAAGAGCAGCGGGACGCGCAACCGGGAGAAGGTGGTGGGTGTAAAGACGGCGGCCCGGCAGCACCGCCAAGCCGAAGCTGACAGAGAGAGGAGCGAGCGGCAGGAGATCCCCCTGCGGGATGGCAGCCACCTGTAGCGAGGACCCCCCCCCCGCCACGAGGCTGCCCGCACGGCTGCCCCCGCCTCAGCCCGCGCCCGCCCCGCGCTCAGCGCCTCACGGCCGCGCCCCGCAGGCGGTCGGGCCGGATAACGGCCCGGCGCGCGCCTCCCGGGCAGCGGCGGCGGAAGCGGGCACGCGCCCCTCTTCGCGGCGCGCTCACCTTCCTCCTCGTCTCCCCGCCCCGGCCACACCCGCAACCCCGCCCCACCTGCGGCGCATGCGCAACCCTCCCGCAGGGGCGCGCGCCCGAGGAGGTTAGCCGCGGCACCGCCCCTCTCCTTTGCGCGTGCGCTCTGGCGCCGTTGCCGTGGTAACGGGACGCGGCGCCAGGAGCCGGGGGGGGCCGAGCGCCGGTGGCCGTCATGTCCGAGATACTGTGCGAGTGGCTGAACGGGGAGGTGAAGCTCTCCCGGAGCGTGGGTGAGTGGCAGCCCCTCTGCCTCGGGAGGGGGCAGGGGCTTGCGGGGCCGCAAGGCTGGCTGTCAGCGCGGGGCATCCTGCAGGCTGCCAGAAAAGTGAGTAGGTGAAGCTCACGTTGCAAAATAACTGCTCTGAAAGCACATTTACTTGTAGCTTACAAACTACTTACTGGTACACTCGTGTCACAAAAAATAATACAGTTTTTTTACAATTAATGTCCAAATTCCTTTAGTTGTCTTATTTTTTGTGGAAAAAAAAACTTTGCAGTTCCAGGATCACTTTCAGAAGAATTTTCTACTGGCTACCTCCTCGGAGAACTTCTGCACAAGTATGGTCTTCAGGATGACTTTAATCAATTTTCACAGAGCAGGTTGGTACTTATGGATAACATGTTTCTTACAGAAATTAGGCAAGATATTTATTCCTCCTTCAGATATATCTCTGTTTTTTTGTGATCGAAGTGCAGGCTTAGCACTCAGTCTTGTTGAAGCTCATACAGGTGGCCTGAGCCCATCAGTCAGCCTATCTAGCCTACCCTCTGGCAGATCAGTACTTCCTCCCACCTTTGTGTCATCTGCAAAATTTCGGAGGGTGCACTTAATCCCCTCTTCCACAGGGCTGGCTGTAGTACTGACCCCCAGGGAACATTGTTTGTGATCAGTCACCTGCTGGGTTAAACTCTATTCACCAAGAAACAAGGCAAGAAGTATTATGGGGACAGTAATGAACTCGGTCTATTTCCTGTAGGGATACAGTATACTCCGTGTTACCAGAAGATCTTTAAATTAAAATTCAACATTTTTGTAGAATTATGCTATAACTCATCCCTCTGTACTCACCACTGGTGAGGCAACACCTTGAATACATGTTCAGTTTTGGACTCTTCTCTGCAAGAAAGACACTGAGGCCCTGGAGTATGTCCAGAGAAGGGCAACGAAACTGGTGAAGAGTCTGGAGCACAGGCCTTATGAGGATCCTGGCTGAGGGAGCTGGGATTGTTTAGTCTGGAGAAGAGGAAAGCTCAGGGGAGATCTTATTGCACTCTACAACTTCCTGAAGGAAGGTTGTGATGAGGACAGGCTTGGCCTCTTCCCCAGCAAACAGCACCTGGGGAAATGGCCGCAGGTTGTACCAGGGCAGGTTTAGGTTACACATAAGGAAGAACTTTTTCTCTCAGAAGTGATCAGGCACTGGAATGGCTGCCCAGGGAGGTGGTGGAGTCGCCTTCCCTGACAGTGTTCAAGAGGAGTCTGGATGAGGAGCTACAAGGTATGGTTTAGTGCTTGTGGTAGCAGTGGTAATGGGAGGATGGTTGGACTAGATGATCTTGCAGGTCGTTTCCAACTTTGTGATTCTATGATTCTATGAATCTATGAACTCTCCTGGCCTTAAAAGATTATTGGTTCATGTAAAGGAATTATTGTGAAGTTATGGAACAGTATAGAAAGCATAATGTTCTGACTCAGCTAGTAGTTACTGATTTTTTGATTGAATTTGAAAATATGTTACTCATGAGATATCAATAATTTATTATTATTCTTTTTTGGCCTGTATATCTGCTGATCCCGAGTGATTCCACAGGATAGTCCTCACGTCAAGAGGCACACTAATCTGAGATTCACTGTTTTGGTTTTAAACATATTTTTTTCTCATTGGAACCATAGTCTTTATTTTTCAACACTATTCCAAGTCATCAAGGTGTTTTGAGAGTTGTTAGATTATATAGGCTTCATTTTTTTCTTTCTGTTTTTAATTTAATTTCGTATATTTTAACTGCTTAGAGCTTATGATCTTCTAGTTATTTGTGTTTTTTGTAGATGATATGTTTTTAGCTACAATTTGGAGTAAGATTTTGCTGTCAGGTGCTTTCTTTGTGTGCATGCATCAAGATTTACATAATGCACTGTGTCTTCTATTTGTTTTCCAAGAGTTATGCCTAGCAGACCAACTTATTTGTAGGTACTACAGTATAAAATATAAGTTGAAATGTGTATTATTTCACTCCAGGGAAGTCCACTGTTTTTTTTTTTTTCCCCCTCCTGTCTTGATATGAGATAAATGTAATGACCATGCTTTTGCAGTGAGTTGAAATTGAAAGTATGCTTAAATTTTGATTTTTTGATTTTTCTTTGTTTGTTTGTTTTTTAATCACATAGGGCTGCAAATGCAAAGCTTAACAATTTTTCTCTCCTGGAGCCCACGCTTCACCTGCTTGGAGTAGACTTTAATGAGAACGTGGCCCATGACATCATGATAGGAAAGCATGGGGCTGCAACAAAGCTTTTATATGAATTGTACATTGCTTTAGAAAAAAAAAGAAAAACAAAGCTCACTGGAGTAGCTATGGAAGCAATGAGACCTGCAGTACCTGCAAGGCTCAAGTCTGTTGGAAGTGTTTCATTTCGAGAGGTATTTACCTATATCTATTTTGTATAATTACCTAAGGAAAAAAAATGCCACATTTACTAAGGCCTCTCAAGGATGTTGTGTGTTTCCCTGCCCGCTTTTAAAAGCTCTCCTGTTCAAAAGCCTTTGCCATATATAGAAATTAGGATTACCTGGTTCATCTGTGATTCATGAGGATAATATGTGTTCTGTGTTCCTTTATTCTGGCTTATTCCATATTACCTGCTCTGTTACTTTTTCCAGCTTTAAAATATGAATAGCAGCAATGACTAGTAGTGGTTCAGTGGCTTCTGTTATACTTATTTGATCAGTATGGATTGCAGACTGCATTATAATTAGTTATAAATATTTCCTGAAGGGAAAATTAGTCTGTATTAAGCTTTGTGCCATATATTTTCCCCATATATTTATACTAGACTCTATCTGGCCAAATAACTGAACATGCTGGATACTGGAAAGAGGAAAAAATAAATGGGAGAGTATCTAAAATGAAGATCTGTTAATGACATTCTTCTCTTAAACAGTAATGTTCAGCATGTGCAAACCATAATCTTTTACCAGGATGAACAATCTTTAAGAAGCTATGCATCATGAATCAAATTCTGCTGAGTAAATGTCTATATATTTCCTGCACACATCCTGGCAAATAGTTTACAGATATGAACTTCACTGACAAATGCAGACAAATGCAAACAACCAAGACACCCCTTCACCCTCTATGGATAGCTTCTATGGAAGCAACTGAGAGCTCTGAATAGATGCGTTCATCACAGAACAGTTGAGGTTGGAATGGATCTGTAGAGGACTCATAAACCAGCTACCTTGCTGCTCTATGCAGAGTCAACTTAGGTCAGGTTGCTCAGAACACTGTCCAGTTCAATTTTGAATATCTCCAAAGATGGAGACTTCACAATGTTTCTAAGCAAGTTCTTGAGAACTATTTCCATTTTAAAAAAACCCAAACTTATGTTTAACTTGAATTTCTTGAATTTTCATTTGACATTGTTCATGTTCAGTTCTGCATGTTCTTCTCAATATAACTAGTCCTTTCTTTGAAAAATATTCAACCAAGTTTAGAAGATGTTCTGTGTACACTGTCACAAGACAACAGTTTAAAATGATTACTGAAAAATTTTTGTATTTAAAAGCTATCATCCTTACCATCTCTGACTATTATTATGACATTTAATTCTAGCGTTTGAAATCTTTAACATTACGTCAGGCTGATTTGCAACTACGGCAGGTTTCAGATCATTTTGAAATGAAATCTAAGACAATAGAGGATAAAATAGCTCATATACATATTTCAGAACAACAGAAATCTCAAAAGCTTCAAGAGGAACAAAGAGCCCAAGACACTGAAAAGGTGAGTGCTTGCATATTACTGAGTCTTCTGGGGAAGTGTTTTCATAATGTCATGTACATAATTCTCTGCTGCACCATTATGTTTTTAAAAAAAATAATAATAATGATGGAGAAAGGAGGTCCACTTGATAAGCATGAATGTGTAGATATAAAGCCAACATATTGTTAAAAGATTCTTAATAACAGTATTTAAAAATCACATACTGAAAATTGACTGTTTGCATGTTGTCATGCATGAAAAATTTCGATAGAATGTAGATTTCATAGCTGGATGTATTTAAGGTGTACTTGTAAAAGAGACTTGTGATGTACTTAATTTTTGAACAAAATAATCAAGAAAAAGACATGAGGAAGGGAGCCTGTAGAAGTGAAGGCCTCTGTCCATCCAGCTGTGTGTAGTTCTGTTGATTAAGTCAAGAAAAGGAACTAATATCTTCAGCATATGGAAACACTCATCCAAAAGTACAAGTTGTAATTTACATAGAACTGTCTATCAAGCTAAGGGGTGTTTAACCATGATAAAAATTAAATTGACTAATTTGAGATGTAATTTTTGTTACTAGAATCACAGAATGATAGAATATCCAGATTTGAAAGTGATTCAAAAGGGTCATGGAGTTCAACTTCTGGCTCCAAACAGGACAAGCCAAAATTGAAAGCCTGTGCTTGAGAGTGTTGCCCCAACACTCCTTGAACTCTGGCAGCATGATGCCATGACTGCTGTACTGGGAGCTCTGGTCCCTGACCTGTGCACTCATAAAGAAGTTGTAGGCCACTATGAGGCCTATCCTCGGTCTACTCTGGGCTGAACAGGCCATTGGACTTCAGCCACTTCCCTTATGTCTTGCTCTCAAGACCTTTGTCCATCATCTTAGCCCTTCTTTGGATGCTTTCTCATAGTTCTGTATTCTCGTATTGCGGTGCCCAGAACTGCACCAGTTGTTACAGTTGAAGCTGCACAGTGCAGAGCAGAGTGGGACAACCCTTCCCCTTGCCCAGTGGCAGTGCTGGGCCTGGGGCACCCAATGGTATGGTCAGCCCTCTAGCCTTCAGGGAACACTGCTGACTAAGCTTCAACTTGCCATCAGCCAGATCCCTCAAATCCCTTTCCATAGGGAACCTAATTAAGAAGTTATTTTGTTTGTTTAGATGTTCTGTTGCCACTACAAAAAAAGATTTCAAAAATAAAATGAATTTTCATGTGTCTACACAAGAAAATATGAGCAATATCCCAAACCTTTTCATAATACATTTTTGAAATAATAAAAAATCCTTTTACAGTTTATATTTACTTTTTAATTTTCTTTGGATCTTTATAGGGAATGCTTTTTCAACACAATTCTGCTTCTATCTTCATGTATCTGTAGTGCAATTTAACAGTACGTGTATTTGTACTAGATCACCTGAGGCTCAGTGTTGATAGTAATTGGTAGTATTACCTAATAGTACATATGTTTCTTTGTTTCTGATATGAATTCTACCTGAAACTAGTGCCAGACCAGCATTTAGTATAACCTCTTCGATGACTCTTAGGCATTGAACACAAACTGCTTTTCTTTACAGATGTGGTTCTGTTATACCACACTCTTTTTTAATGCAAATAGAATAACTAGAATAGAATAGAGAATAGTTCAGTTGGAAAGGACTTACAGAGATCATCTGGTCCAATTGCATGGATGTGCCATTTTTTTCTACTTGTACTTATGACAGAATGAAGACAACAAGCCTCATTTAAGAAAAAGAAATCATTTTATCAAGCTTTTTTTTTTTTAACTTCAATGATCTTTTTTTCATTATGAGTCAGTTACATTAGTTACATTTACTTCGTCGATAAATAGACGGCATATTAGAAGTATATGGCATGTATTGTTTGAAATCAAGTATCTGAACACATGATGTTGAATATTCAGCGTCGCATAGGAAGAAGACAAAATGAAATAATGGCCCGTATTCAAGCAGCTGTTATACAGGTTCCAAAGCCATCACTAAGCCACACCTTAAAAGCTAATGATGCAAAAAAATTGCTAAAGAAGAAAAGAGAAGCGGAGGTAACTATATTCTGTTAAAAGTAGTTGTATGAATTTGGAAAAGGTTAGTTTTTTAGGAGCATTTACACTTAATAATTCTGTACTTGTATCACCTACTTAAAATTACGCAGTAGCCTCAGTCAGTGAAAATTTGGCAAAATGTGTTTCTGACATTTGTTACATAGGAAAATTTTGTTTTGATGGAAGATAAAGTTGCTACTGAATAAACTGAAACAGATTATTTTAGAAATAGAGCAGATAAACAGTTAATTTAGTAATTATTAGGGACTAATTCAAGATACTAAATCTAAAGCAGAATATAGCACAGAATATCTTGTTTCAAAAATCACTGATTAGAGGTAATATATGAATTGCTAGAGTCCAGTGTAAGTTGGCTTTACACTGTAAATGGACAGCTGTGAGAACAGAATTTTGTATGGTGAACATATAGCTAGTATAAGGGGGAATTAAATGGAGATGAAAAGTAGGAGAAGGAAACAGCTTTGCCTTTCTTTTTATCTATCTAATGCTTAATATGTTGTCAGTGTAAACTTTTTTCTCTTGAACTAACGTGATGCAAAACTAATTCTCTATTATTTAATCTGTGAATAGTTGAAGGTCCCTTATGATGCTTTGTAAAGAGAGAAGAAGCATTAAATTTTGTGTTATTTCTTTAGGACACTTACATGGAGATTAACAAGTTTGAGAAGTCCATTGTAGGAAACGCTTTTGAAGTACACAGCCAAGTCACTGATAGGTAATATTTGAGTATTAGATTGTTGATGTTAGACAGGATCTTAAGTGCCTGCTATCTATGCATACAGCTACTTGAAGAAACTATAAGGTCTTTCTTCACTTAAACTGAGCCTTCTGTAAGAGATTTTTTATACTCCTACTAGTGCTGCAACTACTCAAGCTCCACCTTCTGCTGTCACAATGTTTTAACCTATAACTTTTGTAGGAATGGCTTAACCTTCCTTCTGTTGTTTTTACCATTTATATGGCAATAAAGGACATGAAGTGCATCTCTTATTCTCTGTTGATATTACAATCATTGAGTCTATAATATCAGATGTGCAGAGAGGAGGGAATGGTTTTGGATGTATGCAGGTCAGCCTGAAAGCAATGCCTCCTATTTCTTCTTGCAGAAACTACAACAAAGAGCATAATAATACTATTTGATAGAGCAAATTCTCAGCTGCTGTTTTTCAACACAGTCTCCACCATTCAGTTATGGATTTCTGCCAGTGATCAGCAAGAGACTGCATGCTGTGTTTGTAAAAATCTGCACCAGCAGAAGTGGCCCACTGCCACCACTGCTGAAATGCACCACCTGCTGCCTCACTGTGCCCACGTCCACTGTTTGGTCTCCATAAATGTTAAACAAACTTTGATGGATGTCAGTTAGTGCATTTTTTTTCCGCTTGGAGGAATTAAATTATATATATAATATTTGTTTCATATATACTTCCATGTCAGATGCCATTTTGTCAGATTGCCTCTCTGCTGTTGTCACATGACTACAAAATGTAACAGAATATTGGTGGAAAGGTTCAACCTCTACTACCATATCACCAAAATTTATCTCTGACATTGTCGACCAGCATAATAAAACAGAAGACATTACTTTGAGAACAGCCCTCGTATATATGTGGTAATACATTCAAAATAAACTTTCTCCTTAGAGTTTTATTGTACAAACAGCAAATGTAGATAGAGTAGCCATTCTATCACCTTTACTGATACGTATACCATATTCTGAGAAGGTGGCATACTGCTGTGAATACTTTTGTACAAAAACAAAACCTGATTAATGACTATGAGAGAAAGTGCACTCAGTGTGTATGGATATATTTAAAGAGCAACCTATCTTGCTTTGATATTCTGCAAATGATCCTAATTTTGTATTTCTGGAGAATTTGTTTTCTATATTAAATATTGGCAAATGAACAAATTGACAATTGGTTATGTAAGGACTGGAGCTCTCCTCTGGTCTCAGCAGTGATTGGTGGGTGCACAAGGGGGTCAAGGAATAATCTCAATGCTCGCTAACTTTACTATTCAAGATAATTCTGTTGTGTATATGCTAGACTTGTGCCCAACTTCGTGAAAATACCTCTAAAAAACCATAAGTTCTATAAAGCTGTGAACTTCTATTCAATCTTTTTTATCAGTGAAATACAAGAATCGTTACAAACAGAGAAGTTGCAAGAAACAACCCTAGAAAGTACAGCACAGGCAGCAACTGAGCTATTACCTACTTATTCAGATGATGAATATGTAAGAAAAATTCAAAAACATTTGGAGGAAGATATGTTTTCTAGAGAACAGCGAGAAAAGAGACGTCGTAAAATGTTAATGGAACAGTTAATAGCACATGAAACAGAAGAGGTGAGAGAAGTATAACACATACACAATTAGTAACCTAAATATTTGTTTGCAAGTACATATAAACACTGTTTTGGAGGGTCTAATAACATTTGGAAGGTAGAAAAGGTGATACATATACTTTATCTCTGAAAAGAACTTTTATGCCTTGTTTTTCTTTGGATAAAGAAAAAAGAAAGGAAAAAGGTTTTCCGTTCCTTCTAACTACACTTGTGCAATACTTTACCCTTGTAAAACATAAAGCATCAAATGAAAACAGAGCTAAGATGATTAAAAATCAGTTGTAGATCTGCCTGCTATTTTCCTCAAAACAAAAATAACATTTGAACTTTAAATTATCATTATGTTTACTGGGTCTGAAGAAGGTACTCATTAAAAAACAACAGATATGACATTACTCACTTTAAAATGGTATTTGCAAATGTGTAATGTAATATTTTTGTCTGCACTGTATGACTTCTGAAATGGTTGTGCAGTGGGATGTTTTATATACTTATGCTCCACATCATAATCAGAGCTTTGATTTTTGGCATGTTATAGAATAGAATGTGTGTCCTGGGAAGGTGTCTCTACTCTGTCAAAAAATGGCTGTTGCGGATTATTTCATTTGAATCTTGTCCTGCATTGGGATAGAAATATAGAAGTCACAATACTTCTCAGTATCTTTTGCACACTCGTGTTCTGAAAAAAACTAAGGGAAAAAAGATTCTAGAGAATGTTCTTGCTAATATGCATATGTCATGAAGAAATTTTGCCACCCTCGTTGACTGAAATCACTGTGGTGCCAAAACTTCCATCAGCTGTCACAGCACCAGTACAACCCTAGTAACCTGGACTAATGGTTCTGATAACCATTGACATTTGTTAAGTACAGCCTTAAGCCAGCAAAGTGAGCCAGAGCTATTCTGATGAGACAGCTGGTCCACCTCTAGTTGCAGTATAAATTTTGCCAGTTTGAATTGAAGGAGGTGCTGCTATGTGCTTATTACAAGACTGTCTCCAAAGCAGGACAAAGGTAACGATACTGTCCCTAACTTCTTGATAATTAAATTATTGCCCCTCTGCTGCTATCTGTCACATGGCTACAAAATGTAACGGAATATTGGTATAGAGACAGTAACAGTCATAGACTGCAGGGATTAGAAGGAAAGTGAACAATTGACCATAACAGTAGCCTGATCAGCTAAAAGAATCTATTGTCACTTTTGTTTTATGAGAGGAAGAAGTAACCAGTTGGAATTCTGTGAAAGTTCAGAAATGAGATATAGCTTGATTTAGAGAAGTGCGAAGTAATTTGAGTTGTTTTCTTATTTTCTTTCTTTTGTTAAACATTAGGAAAAAAAAAAAAAGCCACAAAGTAGTTGAAAAATACTTTAAATATTCAACCAGAAAGGATTTGCAAGTTGAAATGGTGGTCATTGAAGTCAGAATTTCAATTATAATACATAAAAATTGAACACAGGCCATCAGATCATCTAGAGTCATGTATTGTATTTCATTAAGATATGTACTTCAGAGTGTTCCAGTGATTTTTCATGTCCATACCTATAAATCTCTTATAAAATAATCTTGTTCCAATTTTCAAGTCTTGGTACACTGTGAACTTTAGTAAAAAACTGAGCCTGGGAGCAAGAATACTTAAAAATTACATGGTGTTCCTTTCAGTGGAGTATGTTATGATACCAGTCAGATTTTTACAGGCAGGAAATAGAAGTGTTTGAGAGTAATATAGTTTCATCTTACCAGGATCTTTAATTTTCACCATTTCAACTAACTATTGTTCAAGGTACTGGTTATTTTTAAATGCTTTGTTTGGATTTTCTCTTTGAATTTCAAAAGCTATCAGGAAATTACTGTCAGCAATATATTGAGAAGAAGGAAATGGGAGAGGAAGTTAATTTTTACTAGATTATTTCTTGTCAACCAAATAGATTTATGTATGTAAAGTGGTAAGATTTAGTCATAAATCTTATGACAACACAACAAGACAGAATAGTTTAATTTGTGATTAAACTAAACTGGGACAGGGGGGAGACAGGATAATTTAACACAGTAATGTATGTATGAGCATGAAACATAAACACAACATTAATATTTGGCCACTGGATGCCACTGTTGTTTCAAGTAGGTTTAAAAAAAAGTGCATTATTTTTTAGAAAAATTTTAAATAGTTTCTAACAGATTTCATTTACAATATTTATTAGTTCTTCAGACATATCAGAACCCTCTGTGGAGAAGTAGATATAAAATATTAGGTACAAAAATGAAACTACCATTTTTGCTTTGTCTCCTAGGACACCCAAAAGTTTTGAAGTTTTTCAGCCTTAGGTCTGTCACTGTTTGCATGCAAGGTATCATTGCTTTACTCCCCCCATCCAATAAGAACCGTTTTGAAATTATGTTTGATGTTATGAATCAATCCTAATATTGCTGTCTCTGCAGATAATTAAGAGACATGTGGATGTGACTTTAAGGGACATGGTTTAGTGATGGGTTTTAGTAGGTCAGGCTAGTGGTTGGTCTTCATGATTTTGAAAGTCTTTTCCAGCTTAGACAATTCCATGATTCCATGTTTCTAATTTATCCATAGCTCTGATTTAATTCACCTTTCAGATTTTTTTATTCCTTAAACATTTCCTGCTGGCACTTTCCAAGCATAATCTTTGTGTCAAAATATTTGATTATGTAGAATAACATCAAAATTCTCTACGCTCCAGTTAGCAAATAATCTTCCTTTTTCATTTATAAAGAATGTATACTGGTAGATAAGGTGCACTTTGCACTGTATAGTTGATGGATAGTTTCTTCAATCCTCTATAAATTAGAATTTAAACATCCATATCCCTGAAGTGGAGTACTTCTTGATGTAGTAATCCATGACTAGGGATAAACAGCTGTCACTAAAGAAAACCAAAGCAGAAGAGTCTGCACAACCTCTATTCTTTTTTTTTAAATCTTAATGAAGTATTCTGTCAAAAGAAGCAGTGGATAGAGGTGAGGCAGCATAATGTCTCCTCTTATTGCCTGGATTTAATGAATACTGAAGACAAATTGGCAGATACACTATTCAGTAGGCAGTGCTATTGGTTAATTTGCCTACCTGAAATGTATAAAATGACACATAGCATGAATATGAAAATGCAAAGTGCATCTAAAATTGTTTTCCATTTTAGGGTTGCATCTGTGATGATATGAAAAGATAATGTATATAATGTACAAATAGTACACTATGAATTAGATTCTCATTTTGCCATAATCTTTGTAGGGGGATAATCTTTGATGCAGTTGAAACTCTCTGGGATTAAAGCCTGAGATGTCCACATGATAATTTCTTCCCCATTAAAACTAGTGCACTGTCATGATATACTGCGACAGGGAAAAAGAATGCAAAGCTTACATTTTGTCTAAAATAGTCCAAGCACTGAGGGATTTTCATATGTGCTTAGTCTTTTCAAGTCACTAGTATTTAATTGGAATATACTTTTTATAGCAATTACAATGACAAAGAAACTCAAAAACATGGAAAGTTTGTTTGAAAAATATTGTTTTATCTCAGATGTCAACATTAAAAATTTAAATGTATTAAAAAGTTTTTGTTCTTATTATTGCAATTAAAATAACCAGTTTTTGCTGATTTTTGTTACCAGACTAATACAGAGTACTTGGTTGCATTGTTTATGAGAGATCTAGATCTCTCTGTAAAATAAGTTATTTATAAAAGTATGATAATATGCAACAAAGTTTGAATTTTCATTTTGAGGTAAACTTATATAGTGTGTTCTGCCCTCTCAAAAACACTAAAAGCTAATGAAAAATAAACGGCATTAAAAAAAATAGAAGTAATACTTTCTTTTGGTTTATTTCTCATTCTACTATTGACTGGCTTTACCCTATTTCTCTGTTCTGAGAAAGATTAATGTGAACACTTCAAATCAGTTTCCAGTTTAGGTCCTGAAATTTGAAATTAAAATTTATAGCAGTTTTTTCCTTTATATGAATCAGAATTCCAGGGAATCCAAAATTTTCTCCAAAGTTCTGCTATGGGAGTGATATTTAGCAATAGAGTTTGAAGGGCAAGCTGATGCTTTTGATTACATCTCTGAAATAGTTCTGGACAGTGAAGATAGTGGAACTAAAATATAGGTTTCGTTAAGATACTTCAGGTTAGGTTAAACTTTCATTAAGATACCAGTGACAGCATGAAAGAAGGACAGTACTGAAAAGTTACTGTTATGTTTTACCAAGAACTTTGAGAAGTAATAATCCACAATCTTCACTGTACATGATGTACATCAACCACGCTTCAAGCAATAGTTCAGAATGATTTTCTTAAAACACTGAGTAAGACATTCTATATATGATACTTTGTCCCATTGAGAACTCTAAAACTGTTACTCAGAAGACTTATATTTTCCTATGTTTGGAATGTTTCCCAAATTCCTTGTCTCTGGAGTGGAGGAGACAATTATCTGAATCCCAAGGGAAAAGCATGAAGTTCAAACCTGTAGAAGAGTAGACTTATCAAGGGTCTATCAGAGTTTGGCTGAGAATTGGGACAGGTGGAAAGCAAGGGTGGATATGTAAAATGACAACCATTTAATAACTCAAGGAATGGATCTATACTTAATTCAGAAGCAATTTTTTGAAAAAATGTTGCTATTTCTTTACATTTGAGTTATTCTGAACAAGTATAGTTATGCTTGGTGTATCTGTAAGATTTATTCAAAATTCACTTCATTGTTCTACAATTCTTGTACATTTTATATAAACTATACCTGTGAAGGCATATGTTTCTCTGGATATAGGTATCAAATTAGCAAGTAAATTCTGTTATATTACTTCATTCATATTTTTAATGCGATAGTTATGACTTGTCCATGAAATACTTTGTAACCTGTCCTTAATGATATTTTTTAAATATATGTAATTAAGGAGATTTACCAGGAGGAACAACTTATTTACAAGCTCATGAGACAATCTCAGCAGGAGCGGAGGATTGCTGTTCAACTCATGCATGTTCGACACGAGAAAGAGGTCTTAAAACAAAATAGAATTTTCAGGGAAAAGCAGTATGAAGAAAGACGACTTAGAGAGTTCCAGGAAGCTCTTGACAGAGAGGCGGTAAATAGTTATTTATTCCTTGAGTTGCTCTGGGAGTGTTACAGTATCTACCTGTGGAATTTGCATTGTCAGCTATTAGAATTCAGTTTTTACATAGGGATAGGGTGACCTAATGATTAATATATCACTTTTAACTATGTTTAAAATTACTGCAAAGTTCATAGTGGATGGAATTGAGCAATTTAACATCTAATTGTGATCTTTTCTTATAAAGTAATTTTAACTTTGTAGAACAACATCTCTTTGCTGAGATTAAAAGACTTTTGATGAGGCAAAATAACAGAAGTGATGGAAACAACAAAGTGGCAGAAAAACTTGTCTCAGGAATTATGTATTTCATTTTCTTTAATATGATCTCTAACTTCCTCTTTTTTTTTTTTTTTTTTTTTTTTAGCAAGTGCCAGTAATAAAGAATTTCATTTTTGAATGCTCAATATTGCTGCCTTTGGTCTTAAAGTTTATTAGTAAAAAAAAAAATAATAAAAGAATTAATAATCCTGTGACAAACTGCCGAGTGCTATTCCTCCACCAGGCTATAATGTGTAGAAATGCTACTTTGCTCCTGCCAGAAATAATTACCAGCTTTAAATCCTTCAATCCATCTAGATTCATATATAATCAGAATCTATACATATTGATTACTGCATTTCTTTAAGTATGCTTTTGGCCAAAAGAAGTATATCATCACATGAATTACTGATAATTCTCCACCAGGGCAAAAAAATCTTTCTCAAAGGTCAAATGATGCCAATAATCTCAAATTATTTGCAGATCAGAATCTGTTAAGTTAAACTGCTTGTCACATATTCTAAGTATTCCACGTGGTTTTCAGTGAAACTCAGCCTTTACAAACGCATCTGCATTGTTTTTCCTTAGGAAGAGTAGACAGCATAATTTCATGTTTCTCTATTCCCTAAGCACTGAATACGTTCTTAATGCATGTATGAAAGAAGAAATAACATACTTCCTTTATTTCATTATGTTTTCCTAGTTAGAAAGCAAAAAAATTGGGAATTACACAATGGATAGAAGTTTTTAGATTTCATTGTATGTTAATGTTCACTGTCTCATCTCTGGTGAGGATCTGTTTTCATTTCTTACCTTAACTAAGCAAGTTTATTTTCTTATCTATGATGGTGCATTTTTGCAGTTTGATTTTTTTGCAATCTCAAATGTACTCTTTAAAAAAATTCTAGGCTCTTGCAAAACAAGAAAAAATTGATTGTGAAGAACAAATTGTCAAGGAAAGAGAGCGTCATGAGAAAATTGCCAGTGAAAGAGCTCAGGCTCATTATAAAAAGCATTATAACATCTGTTGGGAAGTGATTGACCAAATTGTTGATTTGTCAACAAAAATAGGAGAATATCGAGTACTGACAAACAAGTGAGTATGGTAGCTGTTAGGCAAAACTAACAGGTGTTAGGTAGCTGTTAGACTTAATGATTCATGCTGGTTTAAACACCGTTAGTGTTTTATGTGGATGCCTAGAAATCTTGAATGACAGCTTGAATTACTGTGAAAAAATGAGGATTCACTGATGGGTAATACTGGGCAAACTAGTGCTAAGGCCCTAATTCCTTGAAAAGTCAATTAACTTGGATCCTTCAAACTAGTGGACCCTCATTTCTTATGACTTGTGGAGATACTGACTTTGTTTTACATGCAGAAATTCTTTTATTTCTTGAAGTTAAAAACTGGGAAGTGCTCATCTCATTTTAAGGTGCTCCACTGGCTGAATGTTTACCCAGTGTAGTATAAACAGAACTAATTTTGTAATATACATCAGCCTGCCTGGACTGTCTTAAAAGTAATAGCTCAGTCCAAAATATTCTGAGTCCTACAAGCTGTGATTCCCTCTTTTGACATGCCCCAGTGCTGCAGGTTTTCTGGCAAGATCCTAAAAAGGCAGCAACTTCCACATGGCTGCCTTCCATGAGATGGAAGCTTCAGTTCTCAATTGCTCTTGCTCTTTCATTAATATCCAGTGATTAGACTATGGGGTAAGGCCTACAGAATAAGAAAGTGTGCCTAAAGTTCCTTGCTTTTGGTGTAATTGTGTACTAAATAATAAAACCATAACCATATCAAATATATGTGTTTATAGTTTGTGGAAATTATCTAAATTTAGGGCCAGTAAGTACTTGATGAAATAGTCACTCAAGACACTGTTTAATTATTTTTGAACAACAAATAGGTTACTTAAAGCTGTAATATGGATCTACAGCAATTACTAAAAAAAAGAAAGAAAATCTAGTTCTATTCAAAATAGAACATTTTCAGCATTTGTCAAATATAAACAGTTATAGGATTTAGCATCTAAAGATGTCAGTGTCATGTTTGCATTTAGCAATAGCAATTATTGTTTAATTACTTTTTACTTCATGCAGTTTGTCTTGTTTCAGATGAATATTTTTCCTTTGTAAAGGAAAAGAAAGATTTTAACAGTTGGTACAATGCTGAATAAATTTTAGCTTCCAGAAAGAAAACAAAAAAAAGTATAGATTTTTGGTGAGGGGAGACTTTAACCCAAAGAAGAGAATAGCATTTTGGAGCAATTAATTTAGGTACAGAAAAACTGTTACTGCACAGATACTGCTGTAATACAAGTCAGCTGCCACAGAAGTGTTTTTATGGTTTCCCCCCTAAAAAGCTGTAGCAATTACAGAAAGCATTATAAACCATATCTAGTATATCATATCCATATTTCATGATTGTGATTCTTATAAATTTGAGTTCACTGTTCTCTGATGCCTATCTGCTTTTATTTTTTGTTTTGGAATATCTTCAGGTTTGTTTATTTGTTTGTTTTCTACTGCAGCAAAGTTCCATTAAAACTGATCTGTGACTGGAAGGAATTATTTTTTAATGGAAAATCAATATATGAAAAAGCCTCAATTAAAACTTTGCCAAGTGAACCAAGCCCAGAACAACTTATAGAGTTGAATAAAATGGATCTATTAGATGAAAAAGATTATGGTGAATACAAGGTACATGAAACAGATAGGCCATAATGGAATATAATACATCTTGATTGTTCATAATTGTAAAAATTTTGTTGTAATGGTACATTTTGTTCTTTCAGTAGGTTATGACATCAGAATTTGACGTGCATTTTCTTTTCATTACATGAGGTTCTACTGGAAATATATGGCTCTTCCAAATGTTAGTAGCAGCAGAGATGCAATTTTAAAACATTTAAAATTTAATGCTTACATATAACATTAATTGTATTTACTTAATGAGTGTGTGAGATAAACAAGGAAATTACTGTGCGATTGATTTTAGCTAATTGGAATTTGAAAGTGTGGTTAATGCTACTGCATTTGAAAATGTGAGAAGAGACAGCCAGCAAAAACAAGTGAGAAGAAATACAGTGTCTATTATAAAACTAGTAATTTTGAATAAAAGTTTTTTAACAGGAATTATTGATTTGGGTGATCTATTCTCAGACAGCAGCTTTTATAAAAATTAACTTAAATGGCTAATATTCTGTTAGGATACAAAATACCTTAAAGTGTTTCTTCAACTCTATGGTACTTTTTATAATTTCAGAAGTGGAAGATGAAGGGTGACTATTGCCCTGTTATAATTAAAAACTATTGTACAGTATTTTCCAAATTACAGTATAGCTGATGGTTTCTTTGAAAAAACAACAACAACAAAACAGAACACCAGTATTTCCAAAAAATCTGTTTAATACATGTAAGTCATTGCAAATAACCTGTCATTTGAAGTTCTGGGAAATTATAATCACAATATGTTTGTGTTCTTACCATCTCCCTGAATCAACTGGTATATTTTATTCCAGTTAGTCTGAGTTTTTGTTAGGAGCTGTGGTAAATATCTGACAGCTGAGTTATCTTTGGTGTCAATCTTAAAATATGTTTTTCTGATTAATTATAAGTTACTTGTTCATACTATCTCAATTCACATAATAACTTTCATAATCACTCTCTTTGGGTGTGGAAAAAAAAATGGGGAAAAAAAGAAAATTGATTATTTTCAGTCATATTATTATTTGTATTGCAGAATCTAGTAATTTTCTTTCAATATAAGGCCAGTAACATTGTTAAACATATACTGACACATTTAAAGTCTCTTTTTCAGTACCAGACTATTTCAAATGTACATTCATGTACTTATTTTTTTTCAGATGCTATTAATCTTACACTTTTCTGAATGTGTATTAACCAAAAATAATACCTTGTGACTTGTGTAAAATTCTTGGCATCAATCCACACTCATGTCCCCTGAAAACCTAAGTGGATAGCTAATATTTTCAGACTATTCAATCTTGAAAGTGTATTGTCCGGGCATTCTGGCAATGTTTATCCTGATTTCTTCGCCTAAGAAAAAAGCCCAGCATTGGCAGCCTGGCATGTCTCAGGAATGATAAGTTTTTAATAAGAATGCTGAGTTAAAGAAGCATATTTGATAAAAGAAAAGAAAAAAAAGTGTGTACTATCAGCCTGTTGCTAATAGTAATTCCACATTAGAATAAGCCTGGAAATATTTGAAAACTACCACAACATTAATTATGCCTAATCACTTCATAAATAAATACAATTGATGAAAAAAAAAAAAAACCCACCACACCAAACATAAGAGTAGGCACCACTCAAAATATCAAATAATTTCCAATTTTCTTTGAGAGAGTTAACTAGGAATTAGGTAACTCTGTCCTGGATACCTGAAAACTTGTTTCTGACAGATAACATAGTTTAACTAAGGACAGGTGTGGTCCAGCAATCTTCTGATAAAAAAGACAAGAAATTCGAAAGGTGAGTACTACAAATAAGAAACCGATCCCATTTAGAATGAATTTGTACTACAGGTTGGATAGAATTTGATCACTCCATTTTTTAAGGAAAATACATCAACTTCAGATACATCAAGGATTTGAACTTTTTTAAAACTAATCTTTTCCACAACTTGTTGAGAAGTACAGCCTCTGAGTTATTTTAAGGAGGAGAAATTTTATAACTCAGAAATATTTTTTTCTGGTTTTAACTGATTAAATATAGGTCGTATTTTCATTTAGAGTTATAGTAAGTTACTTCTATTAGTTTACCTAATGCATATATGTTCAAAGTAAACTCTTGTTAGAATATATGTTATAGCAATGTATAACTTATGATTACAAGGTCTGAAAAATGCATATTCTACCTGAACATGAATGTGTATAATATATTTCAGTAGAACTTTGAATGAAACTATATGTTGCTGTTCATGGTAACTAAATATTTAATTTATAGAATGATATAATAGTTTAGATTGAAAAGAATTCTATGGTCATGTAGTTCAACCTTTTTGCTCAAAGTGGATCTGACTTCTGAATAGATTGCTCCTTCTATTTTCCAGTCAGCTATCAAATATTTCCAAGAACGACGCTGCCTGTGAAACCTGTACCTGTTCTTATCTACCCTCATAGTGAATTTCTTTCCTCTTTTTATTTATTTATTTTTTTTAAGTTAAAATTCCTTTACTATTACATTCCTTTACTACTACATTGACTCCATTTACTACTACATTTAGGGTGTACCCTCATAAAGTACACCCTAAATGAACAACAAACCAGAATCTAACTGGGAGTAGTAATAACCCACGTATCTAGCGAACAGCTGTCTACAGTTGTGCCATTTATGAATAACTGAAACAGAACTAGTATTTTCCTGCATACTAAAAGGTTCTTATTATAGCATAAACAGCACATGTCCTTCATAGTACTTCCCTAGTGTTATAGGGTGCAATAAAACAGTGTCAGGAGATGCGTTAAATTTTTCTGACTACAAATTTTTATTATCATCTTTCTCCAGCTGCAATTGTCAGTAAAAACTATATGTTTTTAACTCAACTAGACGCTTCTAGTTTTTCTTTTAAGGTTTTTATGATTCTGTCTTGTTGGATATTGTTTTGTTTTCTTGTCACTATTGAATCTGTTTTAGGGAGATAAATATATTTTAAATCTTTGTACAAATTTTTGAAGTTATGCGTGTTGTACTGGGCAATAAAACTGCCCCATCATTGGAGTACTGAATACTAGGATAATGGGTTTATATTCCAAAAATGTATAGCCGATTCATTCTGTAGTATTAGTGAGATGACTTTTCATGTTTATGGGATTTTAAAAAATGATTATAGACATCTGTAAAAATGATTGTAGGAGTACTTGTCTCTCATCTAGGTCTTAGTGAACAGCAGTAAAAGCTGAATGATTATGACAGTTACATCTTTTAACGAGGTGCTAATGTAAAAATATTTTAATATTAGTACTGTTCAGATTTGTTTATTATATGATTGTTTATATAATTACATATGTGTAGTAAGATGAAATACGATATATATTGCCTAACTGTTTGATAATTTATTTATACAGAGTATGACAGGGGAATGGTGCCCAACTGAAGAGAAAAGAGAAAACATATCTCCTCTTAATAATAACATATTGGGTCATGTGCTTCATAGACTGATGGACATTTTCTATCCTTCAAAACCCAGATCTTCACTACCTGTAATTCCTCCATTTCCCATCAAGGGATGTATTCTGGGAAAACTTTTTAGTGGAAAAACTACCTGTGTAAAGTTTCTTGAAAAAGGTAGAGTTTTGTTTAGCTTTTTACCTAAAAGTCTTTAAAATATTTAATTGCTCTTAAAGTTGACTCTTACAGTGAAGTTTGTTTGGGCAAATCCTTTCATTACTAATACTTGAATCTCACATGCAACCATATTTTACTGAGGTTCCTTTCAAGTAATTCATTCATTATCTTCCATTATCTAGAATAAGATTAAAAACAGCTGACCTCTCATATAGTGTTGTTATAATATTTCTTCTGCATTTCTTCAGAACTTAAAAATGCTTTTGATTTCTCTGAAGATGTTTGTTATTGAAGAGAGTAAGACATATATGAGATTGTGAATGCAGTGGTTACAGAGAAGAGACAGTGGAAACAACTTACATGAAAAGTCCAAACAAAAGGAATTGTGCATTCCTTCACATACTATAATGCTGTCCTCCAATTACTGATTTAATTTCATTAATAGTCTCTCTTCATGTATGCTCAGCTCAAACTATAAAGCTATCTAATTTTTGTGTGTATTAGTTTGCAATATTCAGGTACTGTCTGTTGATACTCTGGTTCAGGAGGCCATCCAAGCTTTTCTTAATAATGAAATGAAAACTGAACACAACTTGATTTCACAGGAAGCAGAGAGCTCTGCAAAACAAAACAAGGTAAGCATTCTTGTTAATTTTGGCTTTGGCTCTCACAGGGAAAAGAGAGTGGTGTGTATAAGGAAAAAAGTATATTGTTTCAATTTCTTGCTCAATTTGAGACTTAGAAGCTTTTGCTTAACAGACTTAAAGGTTCATCTTCAACTGACATATTGTTCTCCTGTATTGTGTATTTTTTTTTCCTAATCTATTTATTTTCTTAACTCAAAAGGTTCAGGGGAACTTCTCAGCATCATCAATGAAATTTCTAACAGGAACATTTACTAATGGAACTGAAGGTATTTGTGTGTGTGTGTGCATATACAAATTTAAATTAAATTTCATATTATTTAATTCTTATTAAGTTTAAATTACAATTCCACTTTCTCCTGTCCACTTGAAGTACAGTCCATGACAACTGAGTTTTCAGAATAGTTTCCATTATGAATTCTGTGTTTCTGCGCATTCCTAGTGTTTGGGAGAAGCAAGTACAGACTGCTCCACACAGGAAGGTGAGCCAAGAGGTGATGCCAATAAGTCTGGCAGGGCCAACACTTCACCAGTAAAAAGTGAACATATTGACTAAAGAGTCAGATCCAGAGACAGTGACCAGCAAAAGCCTCAGTCTGATGATAAATGTACTGATGCAGTAAATATGAGTTTGAATGAGAAAGTCAAGTCAGCAGATGTGGATCAGAATCAGATGTGGTTGCTACACAGCTATAATGCAGCACAGACAGGGTCTAGGTTGAAAGCTTCATTTTGAAAGCACCTTCCAAAGGAAGGTGAGGCAAGCCCTGTTTCCCTCACTTTACCTTTCTTTACAATAGCTCTTAACAACAAAGGAACTGATATTGGGCTCAGCTACTAAACTCAGAATCACAGAATGGTTGGGAGTGGAAGGAACCTCTGAAGGCCACCTAGTCCAACACTTTTCAAGGAAGATTCAGTATTATATATTGTTCAGCACTGTGTTCACTTGGGATTTAAACTTCTCCAAGGATGGAAACTACACAGTCTCACTGGGTGGTGACTTGTTCCAATTTTCTATAACCCATACAATTCGTATTTTATCATTTAAATAGAATTCAGTGTGTTTCAGTTTGTTTCCATTGCCTCTTGTCCCTTTTTCACTTGGCATCATTGAGATGATTGTGGCTCCATCTTTACTCCTCCTTACAAGTTTCCACTCAGGACTTCTTTTCCCAGGCTGAATAATTCCACCTCTCAACCTCTCTCTATCAGATATTCTAACAACTTAATAATTGTTATGGTCTTTTTCTGGATCTGCTGCAATTTATCCAGGTCTTTCTTGCCTCTGGGGAGCCCAGAACTGGACACAGCATTCTAGATATGGTCTCACTGGGGCTGCGTATAGAGAAAGTACGACCTCTTGGTGATGATGCTGTGTTTAATGTAGTCCAGGATGCTTCTGGCCTTTTTTAATGCAAAGATGTGTCTCTGCTGAAAATGATCTTCTCTGCAAAGCCCTCGAAGCCCTTCTCTGCAAAGTTGCTTGCAAAGCAATTGCCCTCCAGACTTCCCTGCTAGTCTCAGGAGCTTGAGATTCCTGAAGACAGATTGTACTTGTAGAGACCAAGAGAGAGAAGACGTTAAGTATCTCTGTCCTGTGCTCCAGTCAGCAGCAGGCTCGTGTTGCCACTAGTCTTCATTTTGCTGTGGAGATACCTATAAAGGTTCTGATTTTGAGCATATGCAAGAAAATGTCTTTTTCCCATGAGAGCACTGGAACTGATTGTCTTCAGTGATAGTTTCTGTCCTTGGAGGTTTTTGAGACAGGTAAAGACTTGAGTAATGTGATCTGACATTCCAGCTGCTTTAACCATAAAGTTGAACTGATCTCTAGAGGTTGCTTGCAACTTGAATTTTTCAGTGATCCTATGATTGCAAATGCCTTCTGTTTTAATTTGGTCAGAGAACAATAGTAAGACGTATTTTTATTATTTAGCTATAGTAAGAAATATTATAGATGTAGAACTGTTAAACTTTAAAATGTACCTATTTTAGGTAATCATCCTGTCAAAAAGCATCCATCTGATCAGGAAATTGTATCAGACCACAAAGAGAATGACATATCCAAGGTTTGTAGTCCATTTTAACTACTACAATCTACATTATTTGCAATCATATCATTAAACAACAGAGTGGTGATACTCCATCACCGTTTTGCCTTTATTTATTGACCTGATTGCAAGCATTTTCTGTGAGAAATATCAAAAGAGATTTTGTAAAAGCTATTGCTGTGTATATTGGCTAGATTTATACATACAGCTAGAATTCTATGTAAATGTCATCCTGTTTGATCTCACATTTATGTAAGATAAGGTGCTTTCTATATGATTTCTGACTTAGCAGAAATGTGATTGGAATGTTGCTGGTGCCACACAAATAATTCAACGCATCGCAAGGTTTATTTTCTTTACATTCAAAAATAATCAATTCTACAGTTCTCTCCGACTATTTTTCTTGCTGAAATGTACTTAAAAACAAGTAAAATACCTATATAAACATTGATGTTAAATGTTGCTACAGAAAACTTAACTTTTAGCATTTTCTTATGCCGTCAGAAATCAGACCATCACTGAGTTTAGACTAGTGAAAATCAGAACAACATTAGGACAAGGGCAATTAATTTTTTATTTTTTTGGTTTTCAGTACCTTTTGCTTTTCAGTCTTATTTCTGTCTGTCATTTTCTTGTGTGTGATGACATTCTGTTCAACTTTTCAGTTGAATGAGGCCTCTTTAACATCGGGTAAAACTATTTCTGGTACATAGATCATACAGTAAACATTAAAAATGAATGAATAACACAATCAAGACTAAATATAATCAAGGAATGCAGAAGTAAAATATACAGGTTTCTCCAAAAGTAATGCCTCCTATTTATTTCCGTAGAAACTATAATAGATACAATGAATATAATAGCACTAATTGATAAATTCTCAGCTACAGAACACGATTTTTTATGAATAGCCACCACCATTAGGTATACATTTTCATCAGCAGTGAACAAGAGCCTGCATGCCATGCTCAGAAAAATCTGCACCAGTTAAGGTGATGCACTGTCACTGTTGCCACTGCTGAAACACCCACCCACTACCTTGCTGTGCTCATGTGCACTGTTTGGTCTCCATAAATGTTCAGCAAGCATCAATGAATGTCAATGGGTGACAGTTTTTCCCGCGGGAGGAGTTCAATTCCATACCTTTGCTTCACATGCCTTTCCTTCTATGTCAAGGCATCATTTTGTCAGTGTGCCCCTCTGCTGCCATCTGTCACATAGAAACAAAATGTAATTGGAATGCTGGTGAGAAGGTTCCAACTCTACTGCCATACCACCACTATCTGCCTCTAATGTCATGGACCAACACAACAAAATAGGAAGCATTACTTTCAGATCAGCCTTCATATAATCATGTTCATTTTAACTGTGAGTGTTGTCAACATCCTGTGCTTTTTGTTCTTACATGTTCTTTTAACTGTGCTCCTCCACAGCTATCTGTACGTGCCCAGCTTGGCGCTGCATCACAGAAATTGCTGAAGAAAGGAAAAAGTATTCCTGATGAATTACTAGTTGACATCCTATTGGAAGCCATTAAGTATGAAATTATGTAGCTTTTTTCCCCCTTAGTTACTTAGAATGTAATTATCCATTTTTTAGGGCCAGATTCAGCCATTTCTCTTTAGTCAGTGCATTATTGGAAAATTGGACTGTGCTATGGGAAAGTGATTTAATGCTCATTTGAAAGATGTAGAATCCAGCCCTAAATTTTAAAGGCATTACTGTACACCATTGGCAGTAAGTAAAAAAATAAACAACTATCACATAGTCATTAAATGTAAGTAATGTCTATATTTTGTTTATCAGTTTTCAGCTATTCAGAATGTATAGTTGAAAAAGCTAGTATTTTTTTCCTCTAGATTTAATGTGAGATACATTATCTAAACATTCATATTTCAGCAGTTACTTGTTTTTTTCTCTTCTTGCATTACAGAAAATTATCTCAAATATGCTCATATGCAATTAGCTTTAAGTTCTCACGTGAAAGTCATTTAAGTTATATTTACTCCCATTTGTACTTTAATGTTATAAAACAGTTTTTACTACATGTTTTTTCAGTGCAGACGTTGACACTTTTTGAAAGCAATGAAATTACGTCTCTGATCACAGTACAGCTCTATAAAGATTGTTTTTGAAAACTATCAAGAAGCAAATATTGTTCTGTTTATCATTTTTAGCTCATTTTCATGTAATTTTCTGCTATAAAGTCCATTGTTTTGCTATTTTGATCATGATGCTGTCTGTTCATCAGGATATCTCATATACTGAATTCAGAATAAAAGTCTACTAGGACAAGCCCTTCTTTAGGTGTTAATTTTATGTTATCATTTTTTCTCTGCAAATGTCATTTTTCATTTACTTTTAGCCGCGCATCACCAGAGAAGGGATGGATTCTGGATGGATTTCCAATGACGGTTAATCAGGCAAGGCTATTTGAAAAAGCCTGTACAGGGATTGATCCAGATGAAATGGAAGCAAAATATGTGAACTGTGGAAAGATCTCACTTGTTACAAATCCTAGAACCCCTAACAAGCCTTCTGTTGCCTTACCTGCATTTGATGTTTCTGTATTATTGGATATTTCAGACACCACAGTATTGAAACGTGTGGCTAGCTTGAAGTGTAAGTTTATATCTCCATTTAAACAAGTCAAATGATAAGCACATTTTTATGTAAGGGGAATATGAAGATTGTTATAAATATGGAAACTTCTGAATTCTGAGTACTTTGCAGTATGGTAGCAATTTGTGTATTTTAATTTAAAACAGTAATATTTGTATTTTTTTTAATTATGAACTTAGATTTTTTTTTACTCTTATTTGTAAGACCTCTTTTAACTTTGTTCACTTGTCTAAAGATATATGACTGAATATAATCATTAACACATTATATAAGTATAATAAGTAACACAGTAATCCAAAGCATTATTTCAGGTTTTACTTGTACTTAACAATTTTAACCTTACATTATGCTAATTCAAACAATTATTTTTATCTCACATTATCTCATCTATTCATTTTGAAATATCATCTTGTGTGCTTCCAAGTTATCCTGAATAATTATGTTTGTTTCAGTCAAAGGCAGGTTATAAGTGTGCAAATTCATGTGTGTTTGTGGGTTTTTTGTCCTGAAATTTCACAGAAGCTGGGGTAGCACAGTGGCTAGTGTTAACTATCATATGAAGCAACAGTTGGGAAAAATGTAACTTAGATATTTCTAAGTTCTGCAGCTGCAGAAATATTATTCATTCCAAATGAGCATGTCTAATTAGTGTTTTTCTCCTTGGATACATTTGGAAAGAGACATAAGGAAGGGTAAGTAAAGGGATGTGCTAACTTTTAATTTGCTCAGATATGCCAACATTCATTCCCCATTGATTACTGCCTTTGTCTTGCCTTAGTCAATGAATAACCCAAAATAGTTGATTTTGGACTAAGATGGCAAAAGCAACAAAGGCTTTTTGAAAGCTGTTTTATTTCCAGACTACTTATTTTTCATTGCTCTCACTCATCTTGGCAAAATACAAATTCTTTTCACAAATATTTCCTATATTGTCTAGATTATAAGGAGGTTACTCTTCATTGTTTTCACTGCAGCACTTATGTAGCACATGGCTTGAACTGAACATTGTTTAGCTTTTATGTGTTGGCAGAAATGAGAATGATGCAAACTGTTGGAGGTTTTGCTAACTATACCATCAAGACATATTATTGGCACTAATATTCAGGTTAATTTTAAGACATTCTGTTCCAAAACACTTTGAAGATGTGATAGTATATGATATATTCTCAGGAATCCAAAAAAGATACTGTTTCTTAAGATGTCCTGTGGTCATAGAAAGAGTCATAGAAACAAACAAAAAAAAAACACATCAGAAATCAATAAAAATTTGTTTATTTCTAATAAATTAAAGTGTTTCTTTAATCTTGAGAAGTCTCTGAGATAGAGGATAATTTTTCTTCAGATATATATCTATCCATTGCTCTTTTGGAAAGGAGTAGTTACTAAAAGGAAGATTCAGGTTAGACTGGAAAAAACAGAAACACCTTCAAACTGTAAGAATATATATGCCTTAAATTGTCCACCCATCACATCACTACAACTACAGCTTTCTATGACTGCAAAGTATCAGTTGGGAAATGTATTGTTATAACTGACTTTGTATTCCAACAGAAGTCTCCATATTCTTACCAAGCTCTATTTAGTATTTCTCTGATTTATTTCTGTGCTTTCCTTTCTTTGAAGAAGCTTTTTAATTTTTAAGGGAAGAGATGTAACATCAAGGAAATTTAGCTTTCTTCTAAAGTAATCTTATTTAAGTCCAGTAGCTACCTTTTCAACATATGCTCATTTATGCTGTTTTCCACAGCAGATAAATCAAAGCCCTCTCAAATTGAACAGGAGAACAACAGTCAAAATTCAGATGTTAAAATCATAGAAGAGATGACTGACTTAGCAAAGGACCAGGTGCTGCATAGGTATGTTATATTAAGTACAATAAATTTAGTTTAGACACATGATTAGGCATGTAATTAATCTGAAGCTCATATGTGATCTATGAGTGCACTATGAGTGCCTTATGTTAAGATTTTACATAAGAATTTCTCTGACTGGAGTCTAAGAGGTGCTTAAATTTTTGGTGCAATGTAAATAATCCTAGAAGTTAGGAATTGTTATGTTTTGCTTTTCCAAGGTATTTCCCCAAGGAAAAATTCTTTTCCAGGAATGAATTGAAAAAATAAAATATGTATATATATATAGTTCAGAGAACCTCTCGTGGTTTTCTATATTTTATTCTATCATTAGTTTTTTAAAAAAAAAATTATAATACTATTATTTAGATTTTACATATAAAGGAAAATCAAGAGCAGCAATTTTAGCTTTTAAATCATAGAATCATAGAATGATAGAATTGCTCAGGTTGGAAAAGACCTTAAGATCATTGAGTCCAACCACGACCTAGCCATACTACCCTAACAAACAACCCTCCGCTAAATCATGTCCCTGAGCATCACATCCAAATGTTTTTTAAACACATCCAGGGGTGGTGATTCAGCCACCACTGAAGCTATTCCAGTGTTATTCCAGTGTTAAGAACCCTTTCTGAAAAGAAGTTTTTCCTGATATCCAACCTAAACCTCCCCTGGCGCAACTTGAGACCATTTTCCCTTGTCCTGTCACCTGTCACCAGTGACAAGACACCAACCCTTCTCCCTCTTTAAGTACCTTTCAGATATTGGAGGAGAGCAATAAGGTCTCCCCTCAGTCTCCTTTTCCCCAGGCTAAACAGCCTCAGTTCCTTCAATTTCTCCTCATAGAACATATTCTCCAAGTCCTTGTCAAGCCTTGTTGCCCTTCTTTGGACCTGCTCCAGCACCTCAATGTCCTTTCTGTACTGAGGTGCCCCAAACTGAAAACAGTACTCGAGATGAGGCCTCACCAATGCTGAGTACAGGGGCAGGATGACTTCCTTAGTCCTGCTCACCACACCATTTCCGATACAAGCCAGGTTGCCATCAGCCTTCTTGGCCACATGAACACACAGTTGCTTTTAAATATTTGATAATATTAACTAGTTTAGACTATTGTTTTACTGTTATAATTATTTTAGTTGTGATGCAAGAAAATATAGGCTTAACTTGTGATAAGAAAGAGTAAAAGCTATTTTCTTACTCTGACGGGGTTTATGTGGTTGGAAATTTGAATATCTTCAAAAATACTGCCTGGATTTGCTTTAGTATTGGGTTAGATATTATGCTCTTTCCTTTGTTTATTGTTTTTGGGAAAATATTTTCCTGTAGTTATTTTAGTTCTATTTTAGAGGTATACATCAATATGACTTTTGCAGAATTTCAGGCTTCCTAGACACATGGCCAAAATTAGAGAACTGGTTTTCAGACAATCAAAACACTCTAGTGAAGGTCAATGCAGAGACAGAAGAAAGTATTGTGTGCAAAACTGTGAAGGAAATTCTGATTGAAGAAATTGACAAAAAGCAGAATAAAAGTAAGTTTTTCCTTTCCTACTTTTTACATTCATTAAGAAAAGACTTTGCTACTTTGCTTTTGATGGATAACACTAATCAATAAAATATAAAACTATGTGGAAAAACTGGCCATTTTTATCATGTCTACAAGACTTCAGGGATTTATGAGTTATTGATAATTGCACTGGAATTTTCAAGCTTTCTGTCATATTTTTTACATTTTCACAGCTATATTTTCACATAGCTACAAAGATAATTTGAGAAAAGATTTCAAAATATTTTAAATAAACTGTCAGTTGGATATATTTAAATTCACTAAAGAATTACTAAATTCAGTCGTTTCTTCCAGATTTAAATATTACAGCTAGCATCTACACTGTGTGGGATAACACAATGAAAAAGTAGGAAGGATAATTTGCCATTATAAACATATACTCATTTATCAGAAATGTAAAAACATGGATAACTCAGTGCACTGTATTTGCATTTTTTGGTGCATCTTATTGCATGTTTCTTCTTAATCCATGCAATTAACATATGTACATACAACCCTATAGAACTATTTAAAAAGAAGGGAAAAAGATGAATTCCAGAAAAAAAGTTGCATGAAGTAAACCAGGATTAGATTTTTTTCTTTTCTTCAGAATTATTAGAAGAAAGACTTGATGTGACCTTCACCACATTATTCTTTCTCAAGTCTCTCATGGAAACCATGCTTACAGCTGTTCATTAATTAAGCAGAGTCCTTGAAATCATGATAATTTTAATGAATCTCAGAATTGTATCAATACCAGTGACCTTGCTTTACCTGCTAAAGAATGCTTTGTATAATCATACTAAATTACTATGTTACTGTTTCTCTCACAGAGATGGTTTTGGAAAAGTAGCAATCATGCAAAATACAATCTAACTGGAAACAGATTTCTAATAACTATGGCATCATGTATTTGATCAGCATATGTTCTAATGAAAAATGCACAAATAATGAGATTCTGAATCTGTTATGTTAGTCTGAATTTGTCAGATTAGCATAAATATCTATTTATGTTTACTGATACTTAAAATACTTATGGAGGTACTAATTGTATGTTCATACACAAGGGTCAGTACTAGAAGAATCACCAGAAGAAAAGGCTTTGCCAGTTAAACCTCAAGATCTGCTTTCTCCTATTTCTGTGACACCACCACAGATTAAGCCAGGGACAGGTGAATGGATTTATGTAGATGAGCCACTTCCCAAGGTATCTTCAGAATTAAAAGTCTTAGATATCAAAGTATATATTTATCTTTATGTTTTGTGCATATTCTACCTAAACTTTTTTTCTCTCAGCACATTATTTTCTTAAATATTTTTCTGTGAAAAGTACACTAGTGCTGTGTAATGAATACCTAGAAATACAAATACTTTTTACTACCAAAAGATATAAGAAACACACTTGAAAATTTTGATCATTGCCTTTTGCTAAATTCTTCACAGTGATGTTGAAGAACAGCTCACAAAGTCCAAAATAAAAATACTTTTTAATATAACAAATACAAGCACAAACTTGCTGGAGTCATGTCATGACCCATCTACTCAGGCTCTTGTCTTCGGCAATGGCTGAGCACTGGTCCTGGAGAGAGAATGTAAGAATGGCAAAAACGTGCACTGATAATTCTCCTGATGTTTCCTCTAACACTCTCCAGGACATCTTTTTATCCGCTAGTAAAGTGAAATTTATGGGATTCCCGAGATAAGTTTATATGTACATCTTTGTATTCAGTAAATCTCAACAGGATTTTTTTCCATGATTGTCTTTTTTCTTTTTTTGGAAGCAATTTACTTTATAGTCTCCATAATATAGTGTTTTTATGTGATTATTTAGTGGTTTTATGATTTTTGGTTATCAGTATTCCACGTGATAACATCACATGGCATTAGGAGTTAAAGAGTTAATGCTCCAGTTCCAGGCACCTGTTTGGAAGAGAAGAACTGTATACCCCAGAACACTTTGCATTCAGAGAGGAGATACAACCCCTGGCAAGGTCACAAGACCTCCCTTTTTTTTCAGCTCTCCTTCCTGCTGCTTGACCCAACTGTACATCTCACCTCAGTGTTATAGTGAGGGCCTTTCCACCTTTTGGTCTCCCTTTCTCATTATAATTGATTTATTAGCTTCAATTCTACTTATATTTAGTATGCTGTATTATAGTGTGTTATCTTGCATTCTGATACCATATTTTGCATATTAGTTTGTTTCTACTCAGATCATTGCCTCTGTTTTTAATTATTCGGGGTCCCCTGTTTCCCCTTTCCAGAGGTGTGGATTTGTGAATCCCTCTACCCCACAAGTCACGGAACCAGGCTGAACCAGCCCATAAACTGTTGACATGTAGCCTGTATAATTATACTTTTTATGAGTAGAAAAGAACACTCCTTGAAATCTATTTACTTGGTTTATTGGATGACCCTAAGTTCTTGTATTGTGTGATTCAACGAATAGTTCTGTATTCACCCTGTGAAGATATGTGTGATGTTACAGGCATCTATCACATACACCTTATTCATTTTGCCTCAGTGATGCTTTTCAAATCAAGACATAATGTTAATTCATGCAGAAATGATTCAGTATATTCAGTCATGACTTTTGCATTTTGGTCTGTCCTAGTTTTACTAATTATTTTATTTTATTTTATTTTATTTTATTTTATTTGGATGGAGACATGGGTCTGCATGCAGTAACTGAGATAAAGATTAGAAGGATTCTTAATGATGCTTTGTATTTTGTTCTGTATTCTGTTCCTTATGTTTCCCAGTTTTGACTTTATGACTGCAGTTAGCTGGCATATGCTGTGAATCTCTTTCTGAATGATTAAAGTCTGCATCTCAACTTGTTGCCTTTCCACTTGTCATTTCTTTGGCATTGTTTGACAATCAGTCAGTAAAATGTTGCTTTTGAAACACTTTACAGTCCCTTTTAATTTTTACTAGTTTAAACAGTCGTGTACTACCTAACAACTTTCTGAATTTACGAATGTATTAAAAAACACAGATATCAGCAGTATTTGGGGGGAACTTCCTGTTCATTATGAATACTGCCACATTTTTTTTCAAAGAAATGCACAGCGTAACTTTCTGTTGGAAAACTTTATAGTTGATGATGATTCTAAAACAAAATAAATACACAATAAAAGAAGTCAGTAGTATGATATCATGAAATAATCTGTTATTTGCTAATGATACATCTAAATGAGTTGCCAAGAAATGTATTGATTTTGATGTTTTTAAAAAATATTTACAGGAGATACCTGATTTTTTAGTTCCTTATTGGGAAATTGTAGAAAATGTGTATGTGAATACCATCAAAACTGTACTTAGATGTCTAAGGGATGAACAGTACTCCATGATATATTACTTAGCAGATATTAGGTGAGTAGAAACAGCTTAATATTTCAATATCCATATTTTATATTTTTCCTCTGCCATTCTATCTGTTTTGTAACATTAGCTTTGCCATAATTTACAGAAAAAATTTCCAAGATTATTTAAAGCATCCAGATCATAAGCAGGAGTTTGTATCCCAGTGGCAATTAGATTTTAATTCAATTTCTGATGACCTACGGGAAGATGAGGAAACAAAAGCAGAACTCCACCAAAGAGTAACTGTAAGTAAATTAAAGAAGAAACAATAGAACCTATGAAGCACTGTCCATGTTAAAGCAAAAAATGGAATGGAGCCTTGTAAATAGAATAATGTTTAAACTATGACTTAATTTCTCAGAATTGTTTGTATTGCACATCCCCTTTCTTCTTATATTTGCATTAATTATCAAACCATTTAAGTAGAAAGTCACTGATACTGTTATGACTTAGCTATTTGTGTTCTAATTCTGTATCTAGCTTTGACAGCTCTCTGCCTGGGGAAAGCAATGCAGCCTAACTCTGTCCTCTATATTTATCATAGATCTCTGGATTATTTTATCAGGCTCATTTGTAAAGCTGTTTTCTGTCATCTGTCTGTAATCATATAAGTCTTGGACTAGGCTTTGACATTTATAACAATTTAGAGAAAACAACACCTGCAATTAATGAGTGTGTGTCTCATGCACAGGCAAAAATATAGTTTCTAATAGTAAAAAAATGTTTTTTTATAGTTATTTCTCATATTTTATTTTGTATTTTAGGACTTAAGAGATCTTCTCTGGGATATCTGTGATAAAAGAAGGGAAGAAGCAGAGCAGGAACGTACTGATATCATGAATGATGGCTGGTTGCGAGATCATAAGGGGATTGCAATAAACCATTTTTTTTCACTTATGCAGGTATAGTACAGAGCTCTACTATGGTGTTTGCAATTGAAAGAGACAATGAATTATATTTGGAAGACAGTGAGCTTCAGAGGAGTTTCACACGTTTGGCTCTGAATGTGTTAGGAATCAAGAATTAGATGAGCAAATGTTCATGCTGCTTCTAATTTTACCTAGAAAGCCTAGAGACATTTAGTCTAGAGACCAGGAGTGGATGACATTCCTCCTGTTTAACTACTTAACAGGCAAAACTTTTCTAGAAAAATACAATTACTGTTGTCTACTGTTATGCATTTTCAATCTGTAATGTGTAGTGCTGCTTTTTCAGTTTTATCAGTCCAGTGAATTTTTTAGTTTTGTAACAGAGATGTTAGAACTGTTTGTACTTCCATAGTCATATTTACATAAATTTTTTTAGATTACAAAATTTACTGCTGTTGTAGACCTACCTACTGTTAAGATTGTCTTGTATTTCCCAAATCAAAAAACTATATTAGTTGTAACTTGAAATTTTACCTACAGTCTGAAAAAAAAGTTGCGGGGAGTTTTTTGGAGAAAATTATGTTTGTTTTTCTTGAGAAATTCATTCAAATCTTTCTTTTTTAATGAAATCATCTTCACTTTATTGGATCTCTCCTTCCCCACATTACGCCTTTCCTCTCATTCAGCGAGACCATGAATTACTTCAGTTCTTGAAGTAAAGATTTATTTCCCTATGACTGCCATTATAGGTGCATAAATTAGACTTAGGGATGGAATGGAATGGACAGGCTTGTCTGTAAATGGGGTGACCTTGTTGTGAAAGTTTGGGCAACTTTAAAGCAGGCAATGAAAAAGTGTTTTAAATACATGCCATGTTATGCCAATGTGGTTGAAAACTCAGGCCTAACCACTACTGACTAGGCTCCATGCCTTTTATTTCTGTCTTATTTTTATTGGCTTGTCAATCAAGGGAACTGCTTTTTTATCTCAGATGCATGCATGTTGGAGTAATCTAAATAAAATTTCTGATATATTCATCTGCAATAGCATGAAAATTATTAACTCTATTTTAAAAGAGCCTAAATAATGCCATAAATAAAGACTAAAGCAATACGGTTTAAAAAAAAAAAAAAGTCAAAATATGAAATACTTTCTTACTATTCTGCAATTATCCTTATTATCCTTACTATCATGTAATTTATATGATTGTCTATTTAAAAACTTTATCTTAAAATGTATGAATAAATAAGCAGAAGTAAAATAACATCACAGTGACAGAAGAGCCATCTGAGATTACTAATGTATTAAAAATACATGGTATTTATGTTTTCCCTCCCCAAAAGGCCCCACTTTTTTACTTTTATAACATAGTACACATTCCCCAAATTAAATAATTAAATGAATAATTAGCATTGAAACTGCAAAACTAAAAATGTAAACTTTGTGTTATGGTTTTGTTTGAGAAAAGGTCAAAAATATACTTCCTTGGTCTTGAGCTCTCCTTCTGTGGGTTTTTCTGTGGGAAGTTAAATGTATTCCCCACGTGGTTCTGTTACTGTATAAACAATACATTTTCTGCTTAAGAATGTCTTAATTTTAGCAAGGTTAAATCAGATTTCTCTCCACCTTTCTCTTTGCAGTGTAATTGAAGATATTTTCTCCTTTGCTTATGGACAAGAGCTGTTTTACACCACAAAGCTTTTATTCTTTGTTTTGTGAATGTGGTTTTGCGCATTTTCCCATGAATATTTTGTACTGTTTTGGCAGTTAGAAGCTAACATTTGTCTGTATCAATAAATCAAAACATGACAGGTGTTAAATGTTTTTTGAATCTTACTTGATTTCTCCTGAGAGAATTCACAGAAAAAGATCTTAAAGATACTTAGCTCTGTAAAGTCTTTTGATTTCTCTGACGAGGATAAACTGTATGGCTTTTTACATTGTTTTTTCCATCACTTAACTCTTTTTATGAGTTAACTCTTTTTTTATGTTAACAAGGATTTTGATTATTTCAAATAAAGCAATTTCTATAGTTTGTTGGTACTTGTATACTTGCTAGTATAGAAATAAATATAAGTCCAAATATATTATATTTAAATTTAATGTGTCAAATATTATTTATTGCAAATATTTTTTTCCTATTCTAACAAGATTTTTATTATTGTTAGAAATACTTGTGCAAAAATTAAGAAAATAAATTTTGAAGGCATTGATGTGAGTAAAAATATGCACTAAATAGACAATAAAAATTCAAATCAATGTAGTTGTTTGTTGTTCTCCCTGTAACTCTCATTATTTGTAATTGCTTTTGCCACTACGTATTTAAAAATGTGATAGAACTTGTTTTGAATTTCAGTCTTTCTGTCTTCTTTTATTGAGGTTGAAGTGGATCGTTTCCAAGATACAAAGAGACTTCTTCATGACTATTATAGAGCAATGGAAGGAAAAATCCCAACAGAGGACAGACAAGGTTTTACTAGACTCCCATTGCTAGATATTGTCGATAAGGAGCAGAAGGAAGATCAGAATGAATCAAGAAGGTAGAAATACACTATTAATTATAGAAATATCAACAATTATAATGCACTCATAGCTTTGTGGGTATATGTGGAAATAAATGTGGGTATATTTCAAAGGCTGGGGAAATAAGATTGTTTAAATAGTGATTATAGTTAAATGACTGATCTTGAATCATCTTACAGGATTAATTTATCCTTAAATTTTGACTGATTAACCTTCATCATTTTCAGTAGTACATCTCTGAATTATAAAGCATTTTGAAAGCTGCCTTAGAAAGAAATTTGCTATAGGAATATTTCCTACTTCCCTCTGTATTGCTGACAGCTTTCAGCGCAGTTATCACAAAACTAAGCTAATATTATTTTAGAACATCAATAGGCTGTAAATTTGCACAAACATAATTAAATGACTCAAGTAATAACAAATATAAATCATAACATCCTAGGAACATTAATTCTATATTAAAGGTAAGGGATACTGTTAAATAATTTCACAATATCAAAAATTCCAGCGATAGTAAAACCTTTTGTAATTACTTACAGTTCATTTAGAAAATAATGGGGTTATGCTTCTAGCTCATTCGGAAAATATCATAAAATCACACAGTCATTTGACTTATTTTTATCCATCTACAATTACTCTTTATTTTCTATATTTAAACTAGCCAATTTTCCTATCATCCACATGTTTTACCTCTTTTGGTCATAAGTCCATCCTTTTTCTGTTACTACAGTAAATTTTGCAAATAGCATTCTCATTCTCTTGACATGTTCTCTAATGTCGTAACAAATTACCTCTTTATAAGAGGGGGAAATGATTTATGCCTTGTATTTTATTTTTCAGGATTCCTCTGGTTTCTTATAAACTGCCTTCACCAGAAACAAATATTACTAAATCAAAAAGCAAGGGAACTCTACTGAAGAGTGTTAAAGATGAGAATTCTTCTGAAAATGTAGTGATTGCTTTTGGGAAAGATGAAAATGTTATTTCTGATACATGGCAAACAGCAGTAACAGCAATATCAGATATGGTAGGGACTGTTTTATTTACATAGATATCTATGGATAAGATAGTCAAGGCCTTCCATTCAGCATGCGTGCAGCCTTTACAACGTGTATGTTAGTTTCATGTCTATTACTGAATCACAGAAGAGTTTTCAACTAGCAGTGATTATGCCTCAAGTTAACCTCATCTGCTATATTTCCATTGAAAATATTTGCATTTCTGTAAGAAAGGTGTTAAGGTCTGTGTATTACCAGATCTGCAGTGCCTTTGTATTGTCATTCTGCACCCTATCAAATTCTTTGAATGTTGGTTCTATGTCTGCTTTCGCCATGATAAATTTTTCCCTTATGCCTCAATAGAAATATAAAAAGGACTTTTTAAATCATGGGATGCAACTTTTACTCAAAACTTTCACAACTTCAAAAGCTGTGGTAACATTCTCTTTTATACATAATTAATTATGTTGGTTTTCAAATTGTTGGTTCCAAGGTTGTTTTTTTTTTCTTTTCATTTTGGCCATTTTAAAACACACAGACTTTTGCACTCTTATAGTAGGTTACATTCCTAGATTTCACCTCTGATTCTTATATTTCACACTTTTGCCTTCAGTGAAGTTAGTGAGGTTACAAGAATTAAAACTACTATTTTTGTGTTGAATTTTTCCAGTACAATTTTATTTTTTGATAAATAATCATGTAATCAATTAATTACTTAAAATATCTCTTACTTATATATGTTTGTCATAGCAAGTAGTTGCAGTAAATTTAGTCTATTTAAAACAATAATAATTGCATAGTATTGATAACATCTATTTGACTGCATGAATATGGTACAAAGGTAAGAGCAGAAATACAGTCAAAAGAAGTGAAGGAAGAAGAAAAGCAGCTACAAGTGAAAGAAGATCTGAAGTCTTCTCAGACAATGTCAAGCAGGTCTACTGAGAAAGATGCCAAAGGCACCAAAAAATCCCCCAAATCGCCTACTAAAAAGAAAGGTATTTGAAATAGTGACTTTGTTATAGGACTGCTTGAAATTACTGAAACGTAGTTATGACAATCATATGGAAAGGGATAAGCTATGACATTTAATTTGCATTTAATTTCTTCCTTGAAATGTTAAATGTGATATAAAAGTATGAAAAGCTGATGGTCATAAAGGAATGCAAAAGCTGTTGAATGACTGTTGGGTTTCTTTATATGTGTTATTGTTGCATAGTTATATGTGATAGTGTTGCTATTTTCTAATAGTTAATAGTCAAAATGGAACTTCAAAAATTGATATGAAATCTTTTATGCATAATATCATGCAATCTTCAAAAGCAACATAATAAAATAATACTTTTATAATATCTATGCATAGCTATGTAGGTTAAAACAAGATTTGCTCCAGAAGGATCACCTATCACTCAGAGTAAGCTTGTTTATGTGCAAGTTGTTATAAACTGGGAAATTTTAAGGTCAACGGATCTGTTCTGACTCATGACAGAGATATTTGTAATCAGCAATGATACTCCATTCAGAAATACATTTTAGAATGTTGTTCTAAATTTTTTAATTTTTAAAACAAATGAATATGTTGGAGTGGTTTTATGCAGTCTTAGCATGTCTTGCAAATGTAGATTGTATGTGAAGAAATCTTCCTGCTACATTAACATAAGCAGTCTGAGTAATCTTGTATATGTATGCTCATGAAGGATCATATCAAGTAAGATGGAAAATAACGTTTCAAAAATGTCTTATGAGTGCCTATGTGCAGATAGCACAAATTTACCAGCAAAGTCCAAAGATTTTGAGGAAGACTGTTCTTCTTGCAGGACCTTCTTCTACTGCCTCTGCAGCTGAAGGCAGTCCAGTTCCTTTAACCTCTGAAGAACTGAAGAAACAAAAACTGACGCTTAAAATACAGCAAGAATATTTTGCTGCCCTGAAACATGAGGGTATGTTTCTATTTGGTGTTGATCGTTCTTCCTAATTTAGGTATTATGATAGTCAAGATTCTGCAGTATAGAACGCTGAATACTAACTGAAACAAACTTGAACACTGAATTTGCTTATTTTCAAGATTGATAATGATATGTAGATTCTGGTACTCTTCTCTTATTCTTCCTTTCTAAGGCTCTTAATGCTTTTCAGTGCCTGTTTCATGTCTCTGTCAATGCATTACCTAAGCTGTCTTTTCAACTGCTTTATATCCTTTTCCCCTTTGACGCTGTAACTTTTACTCATTTTCTGTATCAGTCTCAGTGAGAGACTCTCAGTTCTTCCCAATTTGAATTTTGAAATTCTCAAAAAATTTGAGTACTCAGTATAATTTTGGTAGAGATTATTTTCTCAGTGCTCATTAACCAAACTCTTTTCTATTGCAACCTGAGAATTGGAGTGTGAAATAGGCATGTGTGGGAAGCTTCAGGAAACAAACAAACAAATAATCAAGCAAACAATTAGCTTGATTTTAAACAGATGAAAGTTAGGGTAAAGATGAAGAAAATGTTTTTATTATGAGTAACATATATAATGAATTAGAAATGTTTTCTTTAAACTGTGTCTGTATCGTGATCCACTCTCATCATTAAGCTTCCAGATCTGATTGCTATGTAGCATTTTGTTTTATGTTCTGTATGCTTAAACATCCCCTGAAGCTGTGCTTCACTTTTATCAAGATATTTTTTACCTTGTGAATTCTAATGCTTATAGAATGCACACTTTTGTAGAACGCATGGTACAATTAGGATGATTCTGAAAATTTAGTCGTTCAAAATTCTGAGAACCTAAAGAAAAATTTTGCTACCTAAATACAGATTATTGTGTTAAACTTCTTAAAACTGTTTTCTTCAAATTTTTATAAATAATAATTACTTATAATAATAATAATAATATTTTAACAGAGAAAGCTACAAAAACTCGGCTAAAACTTATAAAAGATAAAGCTATAGCATATGTTGAAGAGTTAACAATGAAAGCAGAAGAAGCTTATGCAGATATGGAAAAGTGGCTTGGAGCAAGGTTCCTAGCAGAAATGTCCAGGTAATGTAAATCCAGTTTTGAACAGGAATATATTTTTTAAATTAAGGGCTAGTAAAGATGTTTATATAGAAATATATAAATAATATGTAAAATGTGTGTAGAAAATAATAATTTCATTTCATGTGCTAGAATTTAATTATAAATTAAATAGCTGAGTAGTAATGACATGTTTCTTGGATGATTAGCAGGTTCTGCTGACTATACTAGAGGTGTTACCAGTTCTTCTGTTTTTCCAGACTAAAGATTTAGCAGATTTATGAGCATCACCAGACATCACCATCACCTGGATATTTTGCTTGTTAGCAGTATCACCATTTCAGTGGGTTCTGTCACTTCGGGTGGTGGGTTGATTTTTCGTGTGGAGGGTTTGTTTGTTTGTTTGTTTGTTTTTCCCTGTGCTATATATATGCTGGAAATCTCTACCTGCTGTTATTACCACCGTGTGTAACCATTATAAAAAATATTTCAAGGTTGATTGAAAAAAATAATCCTAACCTTGGCTATTTTTCTGTCCTAGTAATTAAAATATACTTGGGGCCACTCTATGACCCTTAGGTCATCTGTCTATATCCACATCATTGAAGTATTTCATTCTCCATTATACCTTTCAAAGGTATCACTTTGCCTTTTGGAAAATGTTTTTGGTGTTTTGGCTTGTACTAACTTTTAAACCATACTTGGGACAGTCTAGATGGTACACTGCAGGGCAGGCCCAAGACAAGGAACAGAAATGTAGGATGTGAAAGGTCTAACAAACAGTCACTCAAAGTGTCTGAACCATAAGTGCTAGCTTGTTCTGTTGGCTCTCCTGACAACCACAGTGACACCCAAAGACATACACAAAGACAGCACTTGTTGGACAGTATGAGTATGCCATCACATTTTAAACAGGAGTCTGTATGCTCCACCAGAATGCTACTCTGGAAAGTGCTCTATCCTGGATTTATTTATTGGCAGAGCAGAGGGCAAGACATTGAGATAGCCTAAAGGATGATTACAAATGGAATATGTATGCACTTTCCCTATGAAATTTAATAATAAAGAGTTTCATCCTTTCATGTCTTTCTATCTGGTCTCTTCTGTGGCTACCATTCGCCTAAATTTCTTATCAGGATTAAAATTACTTGCAGCCAGAGGAGGAATACACTTGATAATGATTTTGCTGAGCACTGAATTCACAAGGGATTTGTAATTCTTGCTTCAGAGCATGCTAAAAATGCTAAAAATTGAATCTGTTATTAGTATCCTCTATGAAAAATAATTGTTTTCTGCATTTATATTTTTGCAGTGTTGAAAAGCTGATTGAGGTAGGACGGCACCATATTGAAAGTTCTAGCAAAATCCAATATGAAATGAATTTAGAAGAAACAGATTTCTTCATCAGCAGTGATGTAAAAGTGATTCCTGATCCTGTTCCTCCATCACAAGTTCCACTAATAGAGACTTCTGAAAGTAGTACTTTAACTATTTCACAACTTAACACACTTCATAAACACTTTCTACAAGTGGCACCTAAGGGTAAGATAAAAATTTATTTTTCACTCCTGAAAAGCTGCTAGTTGTGTAACTGAAATTTAAAGTAACTGCCAGGGGGTGCCGAACATTAGTCACCTATATTGTTAAAGATCATACCACAATAAATGACTGTGCTATGTTTAGAAGGAAACCCCCTGTGTAGAATAGTAAAATATGACATACCAGACCACTTGAAAACTTTTAGTGTCTTTGTTATGGGCTTTTTATATTTTCAAGACTAGGTTCTTAATATTCTTAATAGGTTGGACATCAAGAAAGGGTTCCTTACAGAAAGGGTTGTTAAGTACTGGAATATGCTCCCCTGGAAATTGGTTGAGAGACCAATTGACTGTGAAACAGAGTATGTAAACCTGTACTTACAGTTTTGAATTCAACTCTTTCAATATAACAAGACCACAGAGGTACAATGAAGTTGAATTTAATCCTTCATTTCATGTATATTATAGAAAAATTCCATAACATGGAACAAACATTTAAATGACTGGATGATTCTATGATTCTATGAAACATTCAAATGAACAAATTTTTAGCCAAAAAAGAGTTTTCCTTTAGAAAAACAATTATCGTTCTTCTTATAGTATAAGAGTATGTGTATGAGCATTTCAAAATCCTCTGCAGAGGTTAAAGTAGCAGGCAATGCTGTACATGTAATGCCACGTGAAACTGAAAGTCTGTACAGTTGGAATCATTAGATAGTGTTGCAGAGGTAAAACACACTTTGTAAGATAAGAGCTTGAATTGGTCATTCTCTTTAAGAGAGTTCTTCTGTTTTTATGTAATTTATTCATTAATTAAAATATTTAATACAATTTTTTTCTAATACAATTTATAAGATTCTTAATGTTTTTGAGACAGAGAACAAGTGCTCTTATTGTGCATGTGTAATAGCTAGCAAAAAATACTAATTAAGTATTTCTACAAAATTGTCTTTTTCATATTATATTCACTAAAACAATGAAACAATGAAACAAAACAATTTTTTTCTTATGGATTAGTTTGAAAGGTAAGACTTAGCTTTTTTAAGATTAAGTTTATTAGAAATTCCAAAATCAGAAGTTCAGATAATGATTTTATTGCTAGTAGGGCTATATTGTTCATACCAAGAATGCCAGATTTCCTAAGACAACCAGACCTTTTCAGTACCCAGACACAGCATGAAGAGTTAGATCATTCCTCCCTTTGAAAATTGGGAAAATTTCTTCCCATTCTTTTGTCTCCCCTTGTTTAATACAATGCGCAACAGAAAATGCATGCTTCTTTAGTCATTAATCTCCCATCAAACCAAACAGAGAATACAATGAAGCATCCCACACACTGGAGTGAAGCTGTTAGACAGCAGCTATATGCTCAAATAAAACAAAGATAAAAAGGGAAGATTATTAGGTTAGGAGAACTAGAAATGCAACCAGTTTCCTCACTGGATATTTGGTAAATGTCAAAAGGATATCTTTTCAAATATATGTAATAAATGGACAATTATAAAAATGGAATTACCAATGTAATTTAAAATTACTAGGTATTAACAAAGGAAATATTGTAAAAATTATAAACAGTTCTGTGTTCCCTAGGAATTTAAAGTATTTAAGAGCTGCTGATACATCACAGACATCTTTGTTCTATCCTGCACACTTGGTTCTCCATGGAGGCATATTACTCACCACTCTAAGCACCGATGGACAAAAAATGTGACCTTTGCTGGACCTTCCTACCTACTGATATGGTTTTTCATTTGATAAGGAAATATTTAAACATTTTCTTCTACTATTATGAGTGGTGTTACTGCAATTCAGGGTGACTCAGCAGTATTTTTTAATCTCACTAACTCTTTGATCATTTTATTAGCAGTGCTTTAATATTTTGCCTTCAGAGTGTGCTCCTGTGGCAGGTCTGAAATGGAGCTGCTAACACTTTTTTTTTTTTTTTTCTTTCTTCCACAGTCTCTTTGCATGTGCTCTGTTATAATGAACAAAATTAAACTAACCATCTGATATCATCTCCTTATATTCTCTTTAGTACTACATTCTTCATATGACCCCATCTACTGTCATTGCAATTAGCATGCATCTGAAATTTCTGAAGATTATTCTAAAGGTGTTTAATAATAGAATCCAATTTTGGTAATGTTTTGCATTGCCAAATAGATCAAAATAGATTCTATCCCAGGCCTTTTTCTTCCATTTATAACTGAATTTCACAAATGAATTTGAAAGTGTATTTTTTTCACAGCAACGATCTTTGTGAGCAATTCCATTCTGGATTACAGAACAGATTATTTGTCTGTAACAGTCTTCAGTCAAACTCCAGGAAATTTTATATCCCATATCCAAAAATTGCTTAAAATGCCTATATAAAATTTGAAATGGTCTGCTAAGATGCGAATAGTAATTTTTAGCAGTCTGATTCCTGATTCCAGATTTGTCAATCATAGAAGATAGTTGCTGACCAAACTGTACCACTTTATTTTTTCTTTTTCTTTCTTTCTTTTTTTTTTTTTTTTTTTTTTTTTGTCCCTAATTGTAAACATTTCAGTTTAGGTTTACTATGTTGATAGATTTTGAACAATATGCATATCATATGTATTTATTTCTATTATTTTGTTGCCTTTCGAAGAATTGCTCATAATAGAGATGTATCTGAACTGCATGTTCCTAATATATATATTTAATATTAGGACACTTCAGGATGCTTATAATATAATGGGAACAAACAGTTCTCAAAAATTCAACAGTGCCTACATGAAAATTTGCACCTTGTGAAATAAAAAAGAATGAGGTACAAGGACTCTTTTTTCATAAGAACTTTGAAAGCACTCACCTTGACTTTTTTTTCTATGATTGTCTTAATGTTAATTGCCTCTTAGTTATTTGTTATTAAATGTTATTTGTACCTCTTGATGTACAAACCACAACAAGAGGATGGGATGTTATTAGGTCACTTCCTCAGTGCTTTACTTTGTTTTGGTTTTTTTGTTTGTTTATTTTTCCCCAATAAATAGATTTCAAGTTTTATTGCTTCAATTCTACTTGGAATTAGTCCAAGTTATGCAGCTGCTTTCTTTTTGAATTCATGACCTTATTGCAACTACATATTAAAAGAATTATTAAATTACTTGCCAAAAGTAGAAGATTCATGAGCTCCAGACAGAAAATTTTCAAAACTGTCAGCTTATGGCATATGCTACTACAGAATATGAGAATGACCATCTTAATAACAATTTGGAAAAACAATGTTGTCAACAACCTCAGTGCTTTGAGTGTGTCTCAATTTTCAGAACAAAACATGAAACTTATGCAGTGCCTCTTTCTCGGTAGTAAAATTATTCTGTTGGTAAATATATTTTAAGAATGTCGGATCACTTAAATATGCATCTTAGTCATTCTGTGACAGATGTTTGATTATGTATTTTTGCAATTGCTCCAAGTAAGTTAGTATCAGTCATAATGGGTATAGCAACAGGCTTGTTAACTCAGTATTATTTTCTGAAGATGTTTTTCATAAAAGATAATTGTCAATTCTATTCCCTGACAGTTTTTCTCTATTTCAGTAATGATTTTGATGCTGCTGCATTTTACTGGTTGCAAATTCTATCTCTTGCAGTGAATAATAATAATAATAATAATAATAATAAAATTTAAAAAAATCTGTAATCAAAACTGACCATTTCTTAGAAAGGTCTTGGGAGCTGTCCAAGTGATGTTGAAGATTTTGTTTTCACTTGTTTCGTTTTATAACCTTGGAAGTCACAGTCTATTCCCAAATTAAAAAAATAAGTATGGAATGAAAATAAAAAGTAAAATTGATCATTTATTAAATAAAAAACATTTTATATCTAGTTGTTTTTTCTCAATTATAGCCATAAGAGCACTGAAGCAATTTAAAGGCAGGAGTAATTCTTCTAGCAAGAGAGAAGTTGATGACAGAGGGAAAGAAAAGAAAGATTTGGAACATCCAAGAATAAAGAAGAATCGCCAGTTTCCAAAAATATGGCTGACAAAATACTCCTGGTTAAAATATGATAATGAAAGGGGAATAATGTTCTGTGCACTGTGTCGCAAGCATAATGTGGACTTGGGGGAAAGCATTCATAATTTTTGTTCTGGCACTGATGACTTCAAACTGGAATTTATAAATATACACCAGAGCAGTGAAGCTCATGCTTGGGCTACCTGCATGGAAGCTGCCAGTACTGCTTCACCAAATACAGTTTCTGCTGAGCAGATGTTGAAGAGTATGGACTCCATAACAATAGGGAGAGTAGAAAGTACTTTTAGAACATGCCATGCAATTGCTAAATCTGGTTGGCCCTTTACAGACCCGGACTGGATTTGTAAACTAGATGATGCGAAAGGAAAAGACATTGGTTCTGTATTCAGAAATGATAAGTCAGCAAGAATGTTTATACATTTTATGGCTGAAGTAGAAAGAAAATCTCTAAAAAAGAATCTGGAGAATTGTAAATTCTTTTCTCTTAGTAGTGATGAATGCACAGATAGTATATTCAAATCAGCTGCAGTTGTCTATGTGCGCTTTGCAAATGAAGGAAAAGTTCACTGCCAGATTGTTGGGGTTCAAACTGTTCAGAAAAATGATGCTTCAACTATAAAAAGTGCAATTGAGGAAACATTACAAATAAATCTTCAGCTTAGCTTGTCAAGTCAAGACTGGTCAAGAAAATTAGTTGGATTTGGAAGTGATGGGACAGGTGTAATAACTGGTGTAAATGACGGAGTAGCTAATCTTGTGAGGGAAATTCAACCTTGTGTACAGTCTGTGCATTGTTTTGCTCACCGCCTAAAGCTGGCTTACAAGGGAGCACTGGAAAACATTCAGCTATACAGTATCTTAACCAGTGGCTTGAGAAATATGTACTACTTTTATCATAACTCTACTCTACATAAGAATAATCTCAAAGCTATATATGAAGCCATCAAGTTACATCCAGCTATTCCATCTCGCATTGGAGGCTCCCAGTGGCTTCCTCG